AGGCGCTTCAGGTCCTCCTCACTTTCAGCAAGCAGGGTTGTGTCATCCGCATAATGCAGATTGTTGATAAATCGTCCACCAATCCTGACCCCACATTTCTCCTCATAGAGCCCAGCCTCCCGGATAATCTGTTCTGCATATAGGTTGAAAAGGTATGGAGATAGGATGCATCCCTGGCGTACACCCTTCCCAATTTTGAACCATGCAGTGTTCCCTTGCTCTGTTCTGACGACTGCCTCCTGGTCCAAGTATAAGTTTCGCATTAGAATGATCAAGTGTTCTGGGATTCCCATTCTTCTGAGTCAGCCACAGTTTGTTATGATCTACACAGTCAAATGCCTTTGCATAGTCAATGAAACACAGATAGACATTCCTCTGGCATTCCCTGCTTTCAGCCAAGATCCATCTAACATCAGCTACAATATCTCTAGTACCACGACCCCTTCTGAAACCAGCCTGGACTTCTGGTAGTTCTCTGTTGATGTGCTGTTCCAGTCGTTTTTGGATAATTTTCAGTAAAATCTTGCTTGCATGTGAAATCAGTGAAATTGTTCTGTAGTTTCCACATTCGGTTGGGTCGCCTTTCTTTGGGATAGGAACAAATATCGATCTCTTCCAGTCAGTTGGCCAAGTGGTCGTTCTCCAGATTTCTTGGCACAACTTGGTGAGCACGTCCAGGGTAGCATCTGTTAACTGAAATATATCAATTGGTATACCATCTATTCCTGGAGCCTTTTTTTTTGCCATGTCCTTCAAAGCAGCTTGAACTTCTTCTTTCATCACCATAGGCTCTTGCTCACTAGGTAAGCTAAACTGGCTTTTTTGTGTGTTTTTTTGTTTTTGTTTTAAGAATTTCAGGGGCTATTTTTGGTTAACTTTTAAAGACTATCTAGAGGAGTGGTTTCAAGCGTCATATAGCCTGTGTGACATGATAAAGTCTGAAGTCCATGAGAATCTGAAATTTCTGTTCTGCATTCCCCCCTTTTGATTAGGATTCTTTAGAGTCTTTGCTAAAAAGTCTCATGTTTTGACAAGCAATTTCTTTTTTTTTTTTTAGCCATTTTTTTCCTTAATGTTTCATTCTGCTACACAATGTACTCTGTGTGTCAATGTAAACTAGTTCTCCCTTAATCTTTGGGTAAAACTGGTTTTCAAGAAAGATGGATGACACCTGTTTATCTTGTGCTTCACATGTATCATTTCTCCACTTGGAAGTGTTGGCCTTAGACATTCTGTAATGAGTTCCTAGATTAAGCCAGACTCCAGTGGTGTTTCTCCACTGGTTTCTGGTCTCTCTCTAGATCGTTTACTGACTATGAATTGAGCTAGTATCTTATACAAAAGCAGCAAACTTTTGACATCACCTTGGCGTGGCACCATTATCCTATTATACAACATGAGGCTGCGGAGAACATAATGAACGGAGGAGGGAAGGGAATGCTTAAATATTTTCCTCTTGTGATTCAGAATCAAACCATGTACCCAGCATCTGGAAAGTGGAGGAGCGTGGATGGACAGCACAGAGAACATCACCCTCCCACAGCTCTATCCTTCCTCCTCTGATATTTTCCTATGTCTCATTTGCCTAACAGCAGCTTTTACTAAATGTTTTGGGGTGAGGGATGAATGCTGTCACCTCAAAAAACTGTATTTTGAGGCTCTTTCAATGTCTGTGATCATTAGAGATGGTGGTGGACCTCAGAACACACACCTCCAAATGTCACCTTGAATCAAGGAAGAGAGAGTCATATCCGTAACTGATTTGGATGCTAAGTGAGATTTGACACTTATAAAATGTATTCTGTTAAAATGAGATGATTATAACTCCTAACTTAAGAATTCAGGCTGGAATGGATTGAGACTTTAGGGGATGTTGGGAGGGAAGTAATTATACTTTGCACATGTAAGGCCCATTAATTTGGAAGGAGGCAAGTGGATTGTCATGGGTTCAAAAGATGTATGTTCCTTAAAAAAAAAGATATTGTATACCCTCACCTTTTTACTTGTGAATAGAAAGAAGCATACTGAAGATCTAACTAAGATGGGATCATATTGGAGTAGGGTAAACGTTAATCAAATGACTGGTATCCTTACAAGACAGAGTGGGGAGGGGAGACAATTCAATGTGACGAGGCAAGCAGAGACTGATGCATCTATAAACTAAGCAGTACCAAGTATTGCTGGAAACCCCAGAAACTAAGAGAAAGACATGGGAGAAATTCTCCTTCAGAGCCTTAGAAAGAACATGGCCATGTCACCAACTCAATTTCTATTCTCCAGGACTGTTTGAAATAAATTTATGTTGTTTAAAACCATCTAGTTTATGACAGTTATTAGCAATGATGTGAGCATGGAGTTCTAACTCCATGAGAAATAGTTATGATAGAACGTTAAATAGAAAAAGAAAAAAATAATGAATGTTAAACAGGCCACATTGTCAAGTGTTATTGCTGAGTGCCAAAACTGACTCACAGCTGATCCTCTAGTGGGTTTTCAGAGGCAGAGGCTTGGCAGTAAGGAATTGCACAGCCAACATAAAAGTATGCAGTTCGAATCCACCAGCTGCTCTGTAGGAAAAGGATGAGCAATCTCCTCCTATGCGACCTACTGTCTCTGAAAACCTGCTGGAGGGTCAGCTATGGGGTGGTTCCCACTCGATGGCACATAACAACAACAAATCACAAAGGAGACTGTCCATCCTTTTCTCATGAAGCAGCTGGTGAATTTGAACCATTTGCCTTTGGGTTGGTAGTGCAACTGCTTAACCACTATGTTATCAGAGCTATCTATAGAAAATAGGGAATAGTTTTTTATATACAATACAGACTCAAGTGTAAACCACTCACCACCATCAATGGCCAACCTATCTATTTCAACTCCCCCATGTGAGAATGGAAGTGTGCTCTATAGGATTTTCAACGACTGCCTTTCCTTAAGTAGATTTCCAAGCCAAGTTTCAGATATGCCAATAGGTGGATATGACTGACAATTCAGTTAGCAGCCAAAGCACTTAACCATTTATGCCACCCTAGAACTCCATAATGGATAATAAGGATGACAGAAGAATTGATGCCTTTGAACTGTGGTGTTGCACAAGAGCAGTATGGAATATCCCATGGACTGCCAAAAGAACAAATATGTCTTGGAGAGAGTGCAGAGTGCTCTTTAGAGGCAAAGATTATAAAGTGTTGCCTTACATACTTTGAACATGTTGCTAGGAGATGCTATTCCTTGGAGAGGTACAACATGCTTGGAAGGGGAGGAGGGTGGTTGAGAGAAAGCCCCTCAATCAGATGGTGACACAGTGGCTGCCTCATTGGTATGTCAGGAAGTGTGAGGATGACACAGGAGAGGACAGGGTTCAGATCTGTTGTTCAAAGGTGCTATGGGTCGTACCCAACTTGACAACACCTAACAACAAGAGAACTCAGAACATAGACACTCATGGTTTTGGTTATCTAGTGCTGCTCTAACCAAAAAAACAACCCCCAACAACACTAGGGTAGTTTAAACAAATAGAAATTTATTCTTGCCATTTAAAAGGCTGATAGTCCAAATACAGGACACTTGCTTTATTGACTCTGAGGGAAAGTCCTGGTCTCCTTTTACCTTCCATGGGCCATGTCCCTTGGAGATGTCCATGCACCTTGGCACCAATCTTTCCCTGGGTCTAGGAGGTTCTCAGCATAAAGATCCAGATGAGCTCTACTTCCAGCTCTTCTCTCTGTGGTACCGAGGTCACTCATTTCTCTTTCAGCATCTTTCTCCTTTTACTTCTTATAAAAGGTGATGCAGGGAGATGTCCAGGGTGATTTCCCTTACATTGGATCCATGTTTTGACCTGAGTAAAGGTACTACATCCCACTCTAACCCTCTGGAAAAAGACACCCTGCTGGGAAAGGTGAAGAATTAGAGAGAGAGAGGGAAGCCCTCAACAAGATGGATTGACACAGTACCTGTAACAATGGGCCTGAGTGTATTAGAGATCACAAGGGTGGGGCAGGGTACGGCAAGACGGAGGTCTGTTCTATTGTACATAGAGTCACTATGCATGAAAGGTGACTCAACAGCATCTAACAATAACAACAATTGATTCACTGGCTTTTATGCTTACTAACCGAAGTCAAGGTTGCATTAAAAAATATGAAATTGTGTAGAAATCCACCACACAACAAATTACTGACTGCAACATAACTCCTTTTATTAAATTATAAAACTAACTTTTTTTTTAATACACACACTTCTGGAATAAAATGTGTTTTTCACAAACATTTGCTTTTGTGGAGCATATGGCTTAAACAAATAATTTCTATACCAACTTCTTTAATCTATTTTGCATTTGTAGCCAAATATAAACTACCAAATATAGACATTATACATACAGTCAGAATTTATGAAAATTCTCAAAGACAAAGGCCTTGAAAAGATGGTACAGTGCAAGGAAAACCACAGCTATTAAACTGGTACAAAACTTAGTTAAAATGATCTTTTAGTCCATTATGGCTTTGCATAAAGCTTCAGAGGAAGAAAATTTAAGTCACTTCTCATCAAAGGCACTTAAGAGAGCTGTATGATAGTATTTCTTGGGATTTAGTTTCAGTCCAACAGTAATTTTTAAAATTCCTTCCCTCCCTCCCCATTTTCAGCTTTACTTTGAAACAGTCTTGATAGGCAGCTATTAATGAGGCAAAGGGCTTCTTAATATACATGTTAAAAATACAAAAACAGAATTAATACAGATTTTGGTCCACTGAAGTTGGTAGGTAACATTATCAGACTGTAGTGTTCTTTTCATTCTGAGCAAAAGAGACAAAACTCCCCCAACCCAGTGCCACAAACAGAGCCTCCAGTTTGTAACCTGCAGGGATTCCCCAAGACAGAGCTCGACCTCGGGTCCCAAGACATCCCCACAGTGCATCCTAACTGGAAGGCACAGCCATGGCTCAGCAGGAGTGCTACTCTGGCATGGTGGCTGTAGGCACGAGTCCCATCTCAGATGTCTATAGCTCTGTGTCACGGTACCGGGCGGGCTGGCCATAGTAGCCTCGTTTTGAGTGCTCCGCCAGCTGTTGGCGGTATTCCTCCTCCTCGGCATCGCTGCTGTAGCTTCCTCTGGTTTCCTGGTAAACTCTGGAAGGACCTTTCTGTGGCTCAGGAGGTCTGGAACTAACAAAGGGAGCATGTTAAATGCATTTCACAGCATGTTCCTGTCCTTGGGGGGTGTGGACAATCACCCAAGGTGGGTCAGTTACCTCCTGGTGATAAACCACTTCATGGTGGTGAGGGTGAGGGATGGGAGCAACAGAGCAGTGAGGTAAGAAGCTGACCAGGTGCTTGACTTAAGAATTCCCTTTGCCCCAGCTAGAGGAATGGAGGGGAGGGGTAAATGCCCCAAAGTTTCCAGGCTACAGTCTCAACCAGCTGAACAAGTTCTCTGCCGGTTCCCTCATCTAACAAGCCACCCCTTTGTTGCCAGGGGCAGCCTGGCCACCAGTGCTACTCTTCAACTGATAAAGAAACTAGATTCTAACTCTAGGGAGGATGTGATTCCTGCCCCTTTTCCTGCCCCCTCTATTCTCAGAAGCACGACATGAGCCAATGCAAAATCTCAACCAAAACACACTGTGTTCATTCCAAGATTTACAAAGCACCTTAAGTAGAACACATTTTACCAGCGGTGCACAAGAGATTGTCACAATTCTCTTCCTACCCAAATCTGGCACAAGTATGCTGACTCTGCTTGACGATGTGAGAGTATCAAGAAGCATTGGGTGGGAGTCAGACACATTAGTGACAAAGCAGCCTACATCCAGGGATTCTGATCATGTGTTCCTCTAACATGGCTCAATATACCCAAGACGTCCCAGAGGTTCCAGACCACCACAGAGCTGCAGTGGCAATGATTCTACTCTGTCCTAAGGAGTCCTGTTTGCTACATATGAGGCTGTTAACTAGAAGGTTGGCAGTTCAAATCCACCAGTCACTCTATGGGAGAAAGATGGACAGTGTCCTTCCTTCACAATCTGCAGCCTCGGGAAACTAATGACAGGTCACTGTGAGTCAGGATCGACTCGATGGCAGTGCAAACAGAAACTCTTCAGAGATGTATCACACAAGCAAAATGTTCGTGAATTTTCGATTCTCTATAATCTTTACACTTAAATTTAGCCAAATGAATAAGGTAATCAGGGCTTGGGGGGGGATCTACTTGTTGCTCTGAAATCTGGGTGAAGATTCCTTCTTTAAAATCCAAGCCCCCTGGCATATTAACTTATCCAAAGTTAATATTAACATATTAACTTATCCAAAAGGTGGAAACAACTTAAAAGTCTATCAACAGATGCATGGATAAACAAAACATGGTATATACTGTAGAATATTATACAGCCATGAAGAAGAAGTGGGGGGGAAATGCCACCAAAGTTCTGATACCTACTTCAATATGGAGAAATCCTGCAAATACATGATTCCATTTAATGAAGCAGGCAAATGTATGGAGGCCAGAGATTACGAGCAGTTGGAGGAGTGGAGGTGAGATTTTTGGCTTAGAGAGCATGGAGTTTCTAGTAATGTGTGTGACAATTTGGAAATAGATAGTAACAATGGTTGCATAACATGTAACCAATGCCACAGAACTGAACATGTAAAAATTGTTAAATGTTCTTTCTCTCTCTCTCACACACAGACACACACACACATACACACACACTTAATGACAATAAAATCTAAGTGCTAGAGAAGTCTTGTCCTATCTGTAGCCAGAGAGCCACGCCATCCGGCAGCCCTTACCTCATGTGCTGGGGTAGCCCAGGGTCTGGCTTTTGCGTTTTGATCGGGACTGCATAGATGTCAGGATGCTTCTGTGCGATTTCAATCTGCATTGATCAGAAGAAAAACACGAAAGGGAAGAATGAGCCCCTGGAATTGGGTTATTCCAAGTAATTCCTGGTGGTCCCAGATGCTACTTATTTTCCAAACTCTTTAAAAGAGAGAGGGAAATGGAAGCAAATCTCTAGTTTCTATCGTGTTGCACCTGTTAAGCAGGAAACATGCTCGGAAGCCTGCTGCTGTAGTACTAGGCTTGAACAGAAAAAACATTCTCATGTAGGCTACATGGTCTTTGTGTAATCATTTGTATTTACCTTCTTTTTTGGGGGGGTTTATTATTAAATTTTATTAATTTTAATGAACATTTACAGAGATTTTGGGTTTTCATTCATTCATTGTTGCACTATTTTCTCTATGTATTTACCTTCTAAAAAGATTCTATGTAGACAAGGTACAGATATCCAAACAGCACATAAAAAGCAAACTTCATCGATTTTTTCATCTTTGCACCAAAGATTTTATTGTTTTCTATGGCAAATAAGCAGGAAATTGAACACTGAGTTAGCAACCAGCCACTGCTGACCTCGTGCGCATTCAAGTGAGCTGTGCTCTGAAGAGTCTTCGGTGGTCAAGGCCAGGGCGTGGACAGCCAGAAGCCATGGCTGGAGGCTTCCGTGGGCAGCTCAAATTCCCAGCTCTCCAGTTAGCAGCTGAACGCTTCAACTGCTGGCACCACCCAAGGCCATTAAAATGTTCTCAAGAAAATTCATTCTCAAGATTCTCTTGTCATAATCTCCACTCCAGCACTTGATATGAAGTATGAAGAAAAGGATTTTATTCCCCTTTGTTGGCAAACTTTCTTAACTACAAGAGGGACGTAGTGGCAGCTGCAAATCTGAAGAGGACACACACGTGGCGCACCTTTGTTAATGGCAAGGACGAGATGATGTAGAGTCAATGCCAACTTATGGTGACTTTCATGGCTGTGCCTTTCAGAAGCACATTACCAGACCTTTCTTTCAAGAGGCCTCTGGATGAGTGCAAACCACCAATCTTCTGGTTCGTAGCTGAACACCTAATGACTAAAGACTTTCAACTATTACACTGAAATCAGAATGATGAGTCCCCATAATAACCTGATTTCTTCTGCCAAAAGAACAAATGATTCTACCTTGGGGGAAGAATAACCAGTGTGTTCTTTAGTGGCAAAGATGGTGAAATTTTGTCTCATACTATACTATGGGCATGTCCTTGTAAAGGGGACTGGTCCTTGTAAAAAGACATCATGCTACGAAAGGTGTAGGGTCACAGAAAGAAAGGATCTCAACAGGATAGACTGAGATGCCAACTGTTAACAATGGGCTTGGGCATATCAGATATGTGGAGGATGGCGCAGGACAGGGCAAGGTTCAGATCCGTTGTTCACCAGGTCACCATGAGTCACAGTACCCACAGCACCTGACAACACAAACTACGAACAACGGCACTAATCTCGTGGTCTAAAAACAATTACTCTTCTAGGGGAGGAGAAAAAAAGGAATGATTGCTTAAGAAACACTGTCTGGCATGACGAAAACCTTTTAGAAATAGTGCTGACAGTTGCCTAATGTAAATACAGTTAATGTTGCTGGATTGTTCATTTAAAATGGTTAGTGGTAAATTTTAATTTGAAACAGTAAAAGTTTTTCAGACTTACCCTCGCATTCTGGGCTTCCTGGAGCTCCTGCATTCTCTGTAACCTTGCCTTGTGATCCATCTTCTCAAATATTTTGACTTTGCCCAGGACAGACTTGGGAGCGTTCTCCTGCTCCTCGCTGCCCTCCCCGGTCTCCTCACTCTCGGGGGCTGGCAGGGGAGTGGAGGGCTTCAGGATGGAGCGGCCACTGAAGGAAGGCTTCGCTGCCACCGGAGGAGGGTGACCCTTGGTGGACCCCACCAGAATCTCATTGGGGGTCCCGGCCGAGGGGTTTGACTTGTACTCGTGGGATCTGGAGAAGTCATAGAATTCATCTCTGTTTTGGGCTCTGGCCTGTGGAAAGCAATGATTTTTTTTTTTTTTGGTTGGGGTTTTTTTAAAGCCTTAGGGATTTCAGTCATTTTCAAGCCTCTATTAGTGATTTAATATACTCCCATTTCCTGATCAGTTTCCAAAAGTGGTCGTCAAATCGTAAACACCATTCCAACAAGGAATCAAATCTGGTGGGGCATTCAGCCACTGGTGGGCAGCCCAAGGCCAACCTCTCTTCTTTGAGGGGAAGAGGATTAAAAGCTCTGAGAAAGGAGGACGTGAGAAGCAAATGCAATCAATGGAGGTCATCAGACCTTGATTAATCTTGTGCTGGAGGGGACTGGAATCTTGGAGTAGCCTTCAGAGTACATCTCAAGGACTATAATGGTCTGGTGAAACACATCCTGGGATGGGGGGCAGATACTGGGATGGGGGAGGGCAGCGCATCATGCTAATGCCACCAATTTGCTGCCCTTTGCAGTCCTAATCCTACCTGTCAACATTCATTGTGGCTATTAGCTCATGAAGTCACTAATTACTTCTAACAGCACATACAATGAATTATTACTTCCTTCTCATCTAAATTATTACATTAAAGAGAGAAAATGCATTGGACTCTAGGAGAAATCCCAAGTCCTACTTCTGATTCAGAGATAGTGGGAAAAAAGAATCTGGTGTTATAGCAGTGACACCAGAGACCAGTGCCAAAGGGCGGGGGTGGACCAACATCACTGAGCTCTGAGCATCAAGGTGGTTACGGTGCAAGATGCTTTGTAATGTGTCGTTACTGCAACAAGAGCATGACAAGGTGGAAGGCTCTCATAATGAGGGAAGCCCTATAAATAGTGTCGACTACCTGAAGTTAGCAAATCCCCAGGAAGAACTTTCTGGTGCATCTACACCAGATTTGGAGGAGAAAACATGGGTTTGAGAGGGGGGGGGAAAAACCAGATTCTGAGACTGGTGATTGTAGGCATGTGATGGAAGACAAGTGTTTACTCTTTATATCCATATTAAAAAAAAATAAATAGAAGACTAACAGACTCATTTGGACATGCTTTTAAGAATGCCTTCCATTCCTTATCTCTTCTCCTTCCTCTATCGTTTGGGTTGCAAAATAACTTCTACTGGAGAGTACAGTGGGCAGACAAACAGCACGCAACCCCGTCTCGCTGTGCACACTGCTGCCTCATTTTCCTTCCCATCTGGCGCGTCCCAGCCACGTACCTTGGGCGGCTCTGGCTTGAATGTTGGGGGTGGACTATTGTCCCTAAGTTGGTCTCTGCTAGCAGCCCTCTTCACCTGAGCCCGGGGCTCTGGGCTGGGTTTCCTTATGCTCTACAAGACAAAGATTCATTTACACATGCCAGTTACCCTGCCATGCTGGAGTTTTGCTTGCTGGGATCAGGTTCAAGATTTGGGGTACTGATCCACGTTTCTCTTTGAAGAGGCTGGTGGTAGGCATAATTCCACGAGCACATGTTCAAACCCAATTTTCACATGGCTGGAGATGCATCTAAAGTAAGAGTCTCTCCCTTCAGAAGTACAATTTTTAAGTTTTCCTCAGGTCTTCTGTCACTAATAACCATGAATGTATCCAAGTATCAGCTCACCTAATGCTGTGGATATTGAAGTTTTCACAACCTGTTCAGGAGTACATACTACTGATTCTTTTTATGTGTTTGTTTTAGGGTGGGAAAGGTTCATAGAGGTTTTACCCCCTTAATGATTTGTTTTTGTGTTCTAGTGGCCTCACCGGGAGCTCCGGTGGCCTAGTGGTAAGAAGCTGTGCTGCAATCCCTAAAGCACGCAGTTTGAATCCACCAGTTGCTCCGCGGGAGAAGGATGGGCAATCTCCTCTTATGTGATTAACTGCCTCTGAAAACCCTCCAGAGGGTCGGCTAAGGGTCGGTTCCGACTTGGCGGTACACAACAACAAATACAACAACAGTGACCTCGTGGGTAGGGAGTTGTGCTGCCAACCCAATGGTGAACAGTTAAAATCCACCAGCTACTATAGGGAATAAAGATGGGAATAGAGACGGGCAAACTCCTCCCACGTGATTTATGGGCTCAGTAAAATCCTGCTGGAGGGTCAGCAGCGAATTGGTTCCCACTTGATGCCAATGAGTTTTTGAGTTTTATTTCACCAAGAGGAGAATCATTCCCTGGCAAGAACTAAATCACTAAAGGGAAATCCGTATCACTAATAATCTCTTATAAATATGATTGTTGTTCCGTATTCTCTGAAGGGTGACTGACAGCTGCTCTAGCCTGAACTGAGTGTCTGATGTTGGGGTTTCTGAGGACAGACAGTGCAGGCCAGCATTCAAGGCCAGTGGATGCACAGCACACATGAACAAGCACATATTCGACTACAAACCCAATTTTAAACATTGGAATAAGAAAAAGGAGGAAACTGATGGGGAAACACTCAGGAGCTTTGGCAAGATTAGAAAGGTTAAAGGGAGGGAAGGTGGAGGAAAAAGCAAGGACACTGGAGAGGTCAAAAAAGAGAAGGACCAGCCTAATCAAAGGTTACAAGTAAATACAACAATATTGTATTTAAAAAGGAATGTTCCACTTGTAATTTAGACAACTGGCCCACGAGGCCCTTCTGTTTACTCATCATGCCGGAGGGCATCCGTGTGAGGAGTGGGTACACTCGACCTCCTCCAGGGCCTCCTTCCTGTCCCCCCTGCCCACGGACCACAACCACAATCACCCTACCAGTCACCTGCTCTGGCCCTGAGGGATACCTTCCACAACACCCTGAATGAATGGCTGTCCAGAAGAAGGAAGGAAAATGCCAGAGCCTCCTTCTCCTGCCGGTCGGGCCAAGCAGCCCGCGGCCTGCCTCGCCTCACCTCCTCATGCTGCACCGGCTCTGAGGAGCGGGTGATGGACGACACCAGCGGCTCCTCGGCCGGCTCGTCCAGCTCATTGTCAGTGTAGGCGCCTCCCTCGCCGTCCGTGTCTTCAAAGTCACTGATGAGCCGGCTGTCGCAACTCAGATAGTCCGCGCCCATGGCGGTTAAGTAGGACATGCGATCTTCGGTGTCATCATCCAGCCCTTCCATCTAGAGGAATGTGTTGTGCAGGGTCAGTGGGGTCTGGTACGCCTCCCAGGAATGGGGACTCAAGAAGATTCCCAAGGGCACAGCCAAGGAACTGACACCTGACGTGTGTGAGGAAGGGAACATCCCTGGGCTGCCATGTCATCATCTGGCTTTCCTATTTATTATGTTAACCTTTGCAATGAAACCAAAAATCAGCTGCTACTGGTCAACTCCAGATCCTGGCAACCTCCATAGGTTCCCTGAAAACAGCCATAGGTTTTCTAGGCTGGGGCTTTATGGAAGCAGCTCATCAGGCCTGGCTTCCGCATGCTTAACTGCTGACATCACTGGGGAATCCTCAGCCTTTATGAGCTGCGAGTTCTGCACCCTACCTTTGCTCCCATTCATGTTATACATGGTCTAACTTCCTCACATTATAGTGCCTTTCCCCCTCTTCCATTTGCCTCCTAATCATAAATGAGCTTGTTTTCTACTGCACACGTGTATACTCCTCAGCCACCAGATTCCCAAATCCCCAGGGCAGAAGATGAGTCTTGTCCAACTTGCCCTCACCACGGAGTCCAGCAGACTGTCAGCACCTGTAAGATGCTAGAGTCCCTGACTACACAGTCTGATGCCCAAGAGTGAGACTAGATAACTCAACAGCCTCACTGAGTCAGTGGAGCAGCACAACAGGAACTGTGAAGTCGCACAAGCCCCCTCAACTCAGCTGAAGGTCAGGATACCTGCAGCAAGGACTCACAGGACAAAGAGGACCGACCACAGGAGCATCTGTAATCTCTGCCCTTGTCTGCAGCACATCCAGCTATGGAGCCATCTAATTCTAGAACACAAGATACGTTCCCTGATGCCCTCTTACAGCCTATTCAAAACCCAGGATGCTCTCCCTCAAATCATTCCAACTCCATGTGCTTTTCCTCTTCCTATTCATTTCCAGCCATGTCCTGTCCACTCCTCAAGCTCACCTCTCCTCTCCACTCCAAGCTCTGCATGTCCTTGTAAGTTGTGGAGCTCGGCAAGAGACCTTGTAAGCTCTGATTAGTGTAATTGGGACACAACACTAGTTACTACGTTAAGAGTGCAAGGGAAATGAATGTAGGGTTTCAGACATCACATTCTGCCATTTTTTTAATGTTTAATTCCATAAATTTCAACCATGACTTTTCCAAAGAATTTATAAAATTCAAACTTGATGACCACATGGGCTGAAACCATTTCCAATGGATGTGCTACATTCACTGCCCACTTTGGAAAGATTCAGAGCACAAATTCTCACCTTGTTGCAGAGTATCTAAAGCACCTACCTTTCCTTCTGAGACCCATACAGCTTCTCCTTGTTGATGCTGAATTGTGTCCTTCAAGCTGCCAAACCAGCCATCATTGGCAGAATTCAGATTGATTGTAGCTATAGAAAGGTAAACAAAACGTGTGCATCAAGATCCAAAGCTAAGTCTACTCAGAACACTGCTTGAAATAATGAAGGCTCGTCACTGTCCTATTTCAGCAAGGTTTAAAAGCAAGTACAAGATGCATTTTACAGATATATGAATGCTAAGTTCCTTTAGTTGAACATATTTAAAGGTTATTAAGGGTTGGGGGTGGGATTGGGGAAGGTGCTGAGGGGGGGGACTGTGTACCAATGAGGGAGTTTTTCTTTTGCTTTTCAGGGAGAGGAGCTAACGGGGGGTGGGGGTGGGGGGAGAAGGGTGCAACAATGAATGAATGGAATTCCAAAATCTCTGTAGATGTTCATTGAAATGACAATTAAATAAATTAAAATATTTTAAAAAAACAAATAAAATGTATCTTGTGTAATTATATTTACTATGGGCTGGCCACTTTTCAAAGTATCTTACATAGATTATTTTGTTTCATGATTACACAAGCCTTGTTGTTGTTGTTAAATGCTGTCGAGTCACAGGCGACTCATAGCGACCCTATGAAGCAGAGTCCTTGATGCTAACACAAGCCTTACAAGGTAGGTATTAACATAAGCCTTACAAAGTAGGTCATTTTATAGATGAGAAAATGAAGCATGGAGACATGAAAGGAATCAGTCCATGGTCTCATGAACAAGCAAGTGGAGAAGCCTGGATGTAAACTTGGGAGCTGGAACTCAGCCACCACGCTATACTATTTGTCTAAAATGCATGAATTTAGGGCACAGATAGATACAAAATACCAACAAGACAAATATATGCAATTCTTTGCAGTGGAATGCATCTCTGAGATAAGGGTGTTGTTATTATGTGCTGTTGAACCGCTTGCAACTCATAGTGATCCTATGTATAACCCTATGTGTCAACCTTATTGTCTCTGACACACTTAACTCCCATTACCCCAGTCACGGAAATAATCTATGTCTTCAAGGGTCTTCCTCTCTAACACTGTCCCTCCACCCTCCCAAGTATGATGTCCCTCTCCAAGAACTGATCCCTCCTTACAACATGCACAAAGTATGTCAAACAGAACTTCAGAATTCTTGCCTTCAAGGAGCAGCCTGGTTTCACCCTCTCTAGGATGATTCTGTTTGTTCTAGCAGTCCATGGTATATTCAATACTCTTCTCCAGCACCACAGCTCAAAGGCATCAGTCCTCCCTAGTTATGATTGTCCCAATCATCCCTAGTTATTGTCTAGCTTTCTGATGCATAGTAATTGTGAAGATGAAGGCCTGGATCAGGCACACCTTAGTCTCCAAACTGATGTCGTTGTTCTTTAGTACTCTGGAAAGGGCCCTGATAGCAGATTTTCCCAACACAATTCGTCTTTTGATTTCCCAGCTACTGGTACCTACAGTGTTGATTGTGGAGCCAAGCAAACTAAACCTGTTAACAATCTCAATTCCTTCACCGTCTGTCATGATGTTGCCAATGGGCCCAGTGGTAAGAATCTTTGTTTTCTTGATGTTGAGCTTCAATCCATACTTAAGGCTGCTTTCCCTGACCTTCTGGATAGCAAGAATAAAGTAGATATGCAAATAGATCCAGGAATGGTAAACAGTCAAACCAAACTTGAAAATATCAGTCTGCAAATAGATTAGGACTTTTTCTTTTCCTTAAAAACTACACACTCATGCCTTTTATTAGAGAGCATAGCACTATGCATATTCATTCTAAAGTCAGAAGGAACAGTAACCAAGTTGGGTTTTGTGTTTTTTTGGTTTGTTTGTGGTTTGTTGTGGTTTTTTTTTAAATTTTTTTTAAAAAATTATTATTTTGTGTGTGTGTCAAATTGGATCTGACTGGTACAGGAGGAAATTGCCCCTCCTTCTCCAACAGAGCATCCGGTGGAGTTAAAACACATACCCCTGGGATTAAAGTGCAGCTTCTTGCCACTAGGCCACAAGAGTTCCTTAACATTAAGCAAGTTTTGTAAGCAGCTATGTTACAAGTTTTCTTCTTAGTTGCATACGGTGATCTTTCATTTAACGAGTTTGATCACTGACCCTGGAAAATCCTGAATGAGGTTACAGTCTCCTTGGGTTAATAGTTACAGCATTAGAACAAGGGAAATTTGCCATAATTCTTTGGACTTCTGTCCGCATGTTATGATCCCTTGTGAAGATTATGCTGTCTAAAATGAGCAAATGAAAATGTGCACTTTCAGTAGTAGGAAACCTCCTAGAGACAAAATGAGTGATTTGCACTAAATGCAATATAACACTAAGATACTTCTGTTGGCATTGTCGGACATGAATGGGGTTGTATTTGTCAGATTAAAAACATAAAAGGTCATTTATGAGATGCAGAAGATATATATTCATAACGCCTGATAAAATAAGCAAAATCCCTTTTGAATTCACATTAAGAGTCAAGCACATTAAAACAGTAGGAGCTTCATGGTGACTAATTTGCACAGCCCCCTCTAAAAGGCACCATCCAAATAAGTGACTACTTGTGAACTTGACCTCTTTTGAGAAAGTAACTGAACAACTGTGATACTGTGGGAAGAGGCCTAACATCATCTGCAATCTCAGTGGTCTTATCTATTACATGATGGAGCTGCACTGTATTAACACAAAGATCCCTTTTGGCATCAGTGTAATGATCATATGCTTAATGTATATAGAATATTACTGGCCACAGACACCACATTACTGCACGTTGTCAGCCACACATTTTTTTGTGTTCTAACAGAAGAATTAATCCGGACCTTTTAATGGCAAAATATAACAGCATACATAAAAGATTTTACCATTCCTAGCAGCTCCTGCTGCTATTACTATTATTGCTTCTGATTTACCAAAACTATGGAGGAACTTTACGTTGGTCCAAAGAACTAAGTTCCCAAAGAGAGCATATGAGTTTCAACTATATGGGAGTGAAGAAGGGTAATAAGGAATGGTAGGGGAAAGATATGTAAGAACACAGCCAAGGTATCAGTTCTAAGTGTCTACATTCACAGAAGTTCAGTTTATGATGGATCATTACTTCCTCTGCATTTGGTTAAACCATTTCCCTGTCTGAGAAGCCCTGGTTGTGCAGTGATTATGTGCTGAGATGCTAACAGTAAGGCCAGCAGTTCATAACTCCACAGTCATTCTAGGAGAGAAAGATGTGACAATGTGCTTTTGTAAAGAAGGCAGCCTAGAAAGTTCTGAGGCAGTTCCACACTGTCCTACAGGATTGCTAAGAGTGGGAATCAACTTGATGGCAGTGGGAACTGATCTTCTGTTTTGGTACTTTGTCACAATGGTGAACACCGCACCTCTCTCTCTCCTTAATGAGGAAAGGCAGTGATGGCAAAGTCATGGTATAAAGCTGACACTCAACTCCCTCCCATGGTGTAAAAGACAAAAATGGCATCAATTGACAATGACTGCTCTACTAAAATAAGTCCAGTTACGTTAAGGGTATTATATCTATCTGGTGTCATCACATTGCTCCCACAAAAGAAGATACTGTACAACCAAAACTTTATGTAACCCTTTACACCCATAACAATTACACTATATGATTAAAATAACTATGAGATATCATCTCACCCCAGTCAGAATTTAACAGAACTGCAAACAACAAATGCTGGCAAGGTTGTGGAGAAACTGGAACCCTTATTCACTGTTGGTGGGAGTGTAAAATGGTGCAATCACTGTGGAAGGTGGTATGGTGCTTTCTCAAAAAGTTGCAAATAGAGATACCATTTGACCCAGCAATTCCACTATTGGGAATATACCCCAAAGAGACCAAAACCGATATCCAAGCAGATATATGCACACCCATTTTTATCGCAGCTTTGTTCACAATAGCAAGGAGCTGGAAACAACCCAAGTGCCCATCAACAAAAGAACGGATAGAGAAGCTCTGGTATATTCACACAATGGAATACTATGCTGCATTGAAAAACAAGGAACTCATGCAATTATTATTCAAAATGGGTGACTCTGGAGGACATTAAGCTGAGTGAAGTATCTCAGTCACAAAAGGACAAATACTGCATAGTGCCACTGTTGTAAAACAGGACTGACCCTGGGGTTGGGGAGAGACTGAGAAAGATGGGCTCAATAATGTATACTGCATTGAAACAGATGAGGGAGAAAAGTGTTTAAGAGGGATTTGTGATTAGGTATTTTTATCATGACAGGAGTCTAGAGCGAAGGCTACATGGTAGAGTGGACCTGGGGGAGGGATTGTAAAACAATGAAAGAATTTTTCTTTTACTTTTCCAAGAGGGTAGTACACTAGGGGGGAGGGTTGGGAGGGAGAAAAGTGCAACAATGAATGAATGGAAATTCAAAGTCTCTGTAAATTTTTACTGAAATTAATAATAAATTTAAATTTAAAAATCCACAATTATATGCACAGAACTAGTCATTTACATAGGAAACAGCATATATTCAATTACCAAAACAAGCATTTTCTTAGATCATTTTACTTTCTTGGGTGATAGTAACAAAAGGTCTTTATTTCTAGGGCTTTAAAAAAAATAAACTATTACAGAGAATTATAAACATACAATACACAAAAAAATCAAGAGAAGTTTAAAGAACTGCCATGCACGTGTCACCCAACTTCAACAATAATTAATTCTTGGGGTTTTCCCCCCATTCTCTGCCATGCATGAACCTTAGATTATATATGGAAATTCCAGCCCTAATAACAGGTTATCCATAAATATTTAATACTGGGCATTTCCCCCAAAAGATTATGTCTCCTATTCTCCTTCTTTTCTTAACTACAATAGCATCATCATACCGAAAACCAAGAATAATCAAGTTCAGTATCATCCACTATCTAATTGTTGCTGTTATATGCCATTGAGTCAGAATCAACTGACCCCCCAGAAAGTCTTCAGAGGCTGTAAATCTCATGAGACTGCCCATCTTTCCCCTGAGGAGCAACTAGTGGATTTGAACCACCTGCCTTCGGGTTGGCACTACAACTAGGTGTCCACTAGGCCACCAGAGTCTTTAATATCTAATTAGTATTTTCAAGTCTATTTTATGGGAACATTTTAAAGATAGTGAAACAAGATTCCCACCACTTCACAAGTTAGTGCATGCATTAATGGTAGGTAGAGAACAAAGACCCAGGCTGCACTGGGATGCGGGTGCTGGGTGGTGAGCTAGCTCGATGTCCAGCTGCACAATCTCACAAGTTCTGAAGTGCTTTTAATCAAAAGTCTGAATATCAGCAAATTACACAAGCATGTTCTAAATCTCGATGAACATTTTCCAACAGTCTAAAATGCCAAGTTAAATACGTACATGCCACGGGTCTAGCGTAGCCTCTTAAACTACTAACTTAGTGATTAACTAAGGAGTTATAATGGCGTAGTCTGTCATATGGCATCTCTGGCCTTGAATCCACCATCAGCTCCCTGGAAGGACAGGCAGTCTCTTCCTGTTAAGATTTACACACAATGGAATACGATGCAGCACACAGGAGCAATGACTGTGTAAACTACTACCTAACTTGGGAGACTCTGGAGAGCATTATGCTAAGTGAACGAACTCAGCTTCATAAGGACAAATACTGGTTAGACCATTATTGTTAAAATGTGTATGAGGATCCGAGGATTGACGATGGGTGAGGGTGTGTGGGGGCATGGATAATCATAGGGTCACACAATTTGATGGGTGAAGGGAAACATGGGTAAAGGAAATGGGAAAGATCTTGTGTGAAAGACAATATATATGAGCTTTGTAAGTACACCAGTATAAAAATAAAAATGAAAAAAAAATATTTACAGCCTCAGAAACCTGATAAACGGTCAGTTTGCATTAGAATTGACTCAATGGCAGTGAATTTTTTTAAGTTGGGAGATTAAATACTTTCCCAAAAATCCTGAAGATGATTTCAAGCTCTCTATTCTGATTCTTTTTTCTTCAATTCCTATTTCTCACTTTATAGCAAAGAAATGAAAATTCACTTACCTGTAAAAAGATGAGCACAGGTCTTTTTAAACTTGTTGGCCTGATCATACAACTTTCGAGAACTTTTGTTGGATGTTGGGTTCAACCTCTGTCTCATGGTTTTGACGCCTTGTCTAGAGTCTGGGTTGAAAAAAATCACAATCGGGAACCACTGGGTGTAATTTAAAAGGTCGACAGCTTTTGGGGTCACATCCAGGAGTGCGTGCTTATCCTGTTACAAATGGGGGAAGTGGGTGGCATCAATGGTTATGTCAAATCAAAGAGTTTGCTTTTTTATGTAAAGACCACATTAGGTAAACATAAAAAACAGAAACCATTTCCCACCACATAATTAGCTCTTGAATATTATCAATGTAATAAAACTTTTGATAAAATTATTTAACCAGTTAGTTGGTACATAAAGCTAAGAAAATTAGAAACCCAAACATATTAGCGACACAGAACAGTGACTGGTTTCCACACAGTGAAACAGCCCACAATTAATTCTTTATCACAAACATTTCATGGTTAAAAAAAGAAAACCGTTTCGGTCTGAAATAATGAAACTGCATAAAACCATCATCAAATTTCATGAGTGAATACCCAGCATGGGGTCCTCACCTGTTCAATAATCTGTCTCACAGTGTTTAATCGTACTACTCCACTGGATTTCTCAGATCCTGCATCTTTTGGTTCCGTTTCTGCAAAAAGCACAGGTAAGGATCTGAGGAAGCATTTAAAGATTAGTGACAACCACATATTCTAAAACATGGAAAGGAGCCATAAGGAAATAGTTAAGCTAATCCAAATACACACAACTGGCTTGAACTCTTCTAAATATAAATAACATGTGAAAAAGGAAAAAGTAGAGGACTTAAAAAAAAACCCAACAAACCCACAACAACACATGAAAGTCAAATACAATGCATGCTTTAGGTTCTAGCTTAACTTTAAAAATCAATCAATATATAAATGAGCTCTGTAGGAAATAATTGGGATAAAAGAGAAAATGTGAAACATGACCTATATACCAAACAGTATTACTGTGTCACTTCTTGGTTGTGAAAACAGAATTGTGAATGTGTAGAATGTCCTTGCCTGAAAGAGACATGCGCAAGAAATCTGGGTAAAGTGTCAAAATGTCAAATGGTTTAGCAGACCTTTTCAACATATTTACATATGTGCATGTATGTCTGCTGGGAGAAACAGGAGAGAGAGCGCCACACAAGGCGAAATGTTACTAACCAGTGATGCCTGGTGAAATGTGTCACTATTCAAAATAAAACTCTAGGGAGAAAATTTTAAACATCAGTGATAGACTTACTAGCAGTCTGAAACTGGTTCGGTAACTCATTTGCCAACTTTTCCATCGCTATATCTGCTATGGGGCCAAACAAGACCACAGGTCTCTTAAAACCAGCTGAAATGAGATAAGAAATGCCATGAAAACATATACAACTACCTCACTATAAAGGCAGAAGGAAAAGCACATCACAGGGTTCTGATTTTTCAATTGTGGTAAATTACACATAACATAAAATTAGCTGTCAGTGACATCTGGGGCACTTGCATATTATACGAACATCCTGTCTAGTCCCAGGACTTCTCCACCACCCGCAGAGATACCCCACCACCACTCCGCGGCCACATCCTAATCCTCCATCCCCAATGGTGCCGGGCCACCAGCAGCCCTCTTTTCATCTCTGTGGAGTCACTTAATCTGCAGAGTTCATATAAATGGAGTCATCCAGTGTGCAGCCTTTGGTGTTTGGCTCTGCTCACTCAGCATAAAGTTTTCACAGTTTACCTGTGTTACCACATGTAGTCCATCTCTCAGCTGGTGGACACTCAGGCTGTTCCTACTCTGGCCACTGTGCACCATGCTGTTACAAGCATTAATGCATCAGTTTCTGTTTGGACATTTATCTTCAACTCCTTTAGGTATAAACTCAAGAGTGGAAATGCTGGGTTATATGGTAATCCTGAGGAGTTCTGTGGTAGCAATTGACTGTGAACCTAAAAGTTAGTGGTCAAAACCACCCAGAGGCCCTCAGAAGAGAGGCCTGATGGTCGCTCCATCTGAAAGGTCATACCCTTGACCTTGCCCTGGCGTGGCTCTGCTCTGCACACAGAGTCATCCTGACTCAGAATTGACTTGATAGCAACTAATAACAATAATGATAATTCTATGTTTAATTTAACTGAGGAGCCTTTTATTAGCCTTGGCTTAATAATACATCTAAATGCTGAGAAATTGTCTATACTCTCACCTGCAATGCAGTCCAGCTCTTTTCAGAGTATTACTTTTTAACTCCTCAGTCCCTTTTCAAAGGTAAACTTTGGTATGGGTCAGATATCAAAAATCTTTCAAATGATGATATAGAAGGATGATTTGTTGGGAGTTTGGGTTGTGGGAACAGGTCTCCCTTGAGAAAGTTTGACAGTTCCCACTTCTGAAGTCTCTCCCTTGTTCTACCGTACAATTCTATCACTGTTACTAGACAGTGACCCAGGAGATATGGTTAGAATTGGGCAATTACATCAGAAAATGGAGAGAGCCAGGCTCAGAGTCCAGGTGGACCATCTCCTGTCCCCGCGTAGCTCACCTTCCCGAAGTAGGACCCTCTCGTAAGCTGGGAACTTGGTGCTGACCGACACGGCCGCTGTGAGGTCCTCCCGGCTCTTCCGCAGGTTCTTCTTCACGCCGGACCGCTGACCCCGCATTCTCCAGAAATCCGCCCTGTCCCCGGCATTGTCTCTCTGGGCATTCTGGACACTGGCCATCTGTTCGGCTCTAAGAAAAAGAAAGCACAGTGAGTAAATCTCCAGCTCCTGAGGCAACCCATCATGCCATCAACCAAATCCTGTCATTTCTACACATGAACCTGGATGAGAGAAGGTTTAACTTGACAGTAAGAAAAGATCATGTGGCGGGTAACATGGAAACTTTATTTAACACAAAATCAGAGAGCGGCTGGATCTACACAGAACTCACCAGTAGCTCAGTAATAAACACATTGCATTTGACAGGTTCTGGCTGCCATAAACACACCTGAGAACTCCTGTCAAAGTATAGGTTTCTCTCCTAGGTCTTTCTGCTTTCAAGCCAAATGTGTTTTCCCAGGGACACACGCCTCCCTGCGGATGAGGGTTGGGTGCCCAATAAAGGTGACTTATTTTTAATAGTTACATTGTGGCTACTGAGAAGCTACCTCATGATGCACCCGAGACAGCTGATAACAGCCTTAAGAAACAAGCAAATGTCAAACCAACAATGTAATGCTGAACACGCATAACAAATCAGTTGGTAAACTGATTTTTTTTACAAAGTTTTTCTATTTTGGTTTAGTTATACACATGCAGACATGTCCCTCAACAACTTCTGCAAATGACATTTTTCACATTAAGCCACCATTCTTGTTACTCTGCTGTCCTTATTACACTCCCTAAACTTAGACTTAGCATAACTGTTGTTGTTATGTGTCGTCAAGTTGCTTGCGACTCATAGCAAACCTATGTACAACAGTCCTAAACTCTGCTCTGTCCTGTGCCAATCGCACCGTCTCTGACACACCCATCCCGATTACCCCAACCACTGAATCAATCCACCTCATAGGGGGCCTTCCCCTTCTGCGCTGTCCTTCCACCCTACCAAGCATGATGTCCCTCTCCAAGGACCTGTCCCTCCCTGCAACATGTCCAAAGTATGTCAGACAGAGCCTTAGAATCCTTGTGTCCAAGGAGCAGCCCGGTTTGACCCTTTCCAGGATGAATCTGTTTGTTTTCCTAGCAGTCCACGGTACCCTCAATACTCTTCTCCAGCACCACAGCTCAAAGGCATCAATTCTCCTTCTATCCTCCTTAGTCACTGTCCAACTCTCTGATGCATAAAAGTGATAGATAAGACCATGGCCTATATCAGGCGCACCTTAGTCTCCAGAGAGACACCATTGCTCTTCAGTACTTTGGAGAGGTCCCTAACAGCAGACTTTCCCATGGCAATACATCTTCTAATTTCCTGGCTTTAGCATAATAGTATCCATTTAACCTAATGTACAGTGTTGTCTTTTTTTTTAAATACAGCATAATACTCAATGCTGACAATGTTTCTTTTTTGAGCCAAAGTGTTACTTATTTTCAAAGTGACTTCAGGGGATAGTTCCAATTCCAATATAAAGCAATAGTCTCAGGGAGTCCTCCAGCCTCAATGAATCCAGTATGTCTGGAGGTAGGTGGTGGGACAGGACATGGTAACAATGAAGTCATGGGAACTACCCTTTTGGGAAGTCCCGCTGGTTTTGAGGAGGGAAGAATTAAGAAGGATCAGGGGAGTGTGGGGCTGCCGATACCTGCTCTTGTTAGGGATTAAGCCTTTCTCCAACTCATTCCCGATTCGCACAGCCAGCCAGTGGCCCAGCTTGCCATCATACAGTGTATCAACCACCCGAAAGACCTCGCCCCGGGTGAAGGCCAGGCTCTGGGGCGTTTCCTTCTCACATTCAAAGTGGCTTCTGATGAAAAATGAATCCCCTCGTCCACAAGCCAGGATGTCTCTGTACACTGAAAGACAAAAGTATACATCATGTTGAGTGAATTATCTCAGTCACAAAAGGACAAATACTATGTGACACTACTGTTAAAAAACAGGACTGACATGGGGGTTGGGGGAAATGAAGAAAAGTGGGGATAAATAATGAACACTGCAGTGCAACAGATAAAGGAAAGAACTGTTTAAAAGAAATACATGATTACGCATTATTTGTATGACAACAGTCCAGAATAAGAGGTGTATAGCAAAGTGGATTGGGGTGGTGAGGCAAAAAATTATGGAACAATAAGCCTGTTTGGTTTTTTTTAAAGTGAACTGAAGAGGGTGGGGAGGAAAATATGCAACAATAAAGGAATGAAAATCCAACTCTTCTATAAACTTTCATTAGAATCACAATAAACAGAAGTATCGCCTGCTGAATGTGTCTACTCCTGCCTCTAGTCCTCTCTCTCCCCTCAGCTCCACACGGTGAACTCAGTGCATAGCACCACCACCCTCAGCCTGAACCACGGCTCAAACAGGAAGATGGCGCTGTTGGTGACAGCTGCACAACATGACTGATGAAACGGAATTCATCAAATTACATTAGTGAAAATGCTGAATTATCAAAAGCCCAAATCAAAAACAGAAGGAGAATGAAGAGCTAAATTCATGAGTTGTCAGTCAGTCCTTAGAGAAAATATCACCAGCTTCCACTTGGGAGACAAAAACATTAAGGCCTGGGAAGTTTAAGCAACTTGTTGAGGCTGACCATCAAATAGTATGGCTTCTCCAGAACTCAGTAATAACTGCACACAGTCACTGTACAGTTGAATAATTTCCAAATTTTCTCCACACACTTGTGAACCAGGATTAAGTGTCACAAGCCACTCTGTTTTTTAACACTCAGATTTTGTTGTTCTTAGATGCCACAGAGTCGAGTATGGCTCACAGTGACCCCAAGAATGTCAGATGTGAACTCTGCCCTATCCTGCGCCATCCTCGTCGTGTCTGACTTGTATGAGCCCACTGCCACAGTCACTGTGTCAATTCATCTTATGGAGGGGCTTCCTCTCTATGGCTGGCCTTTCCAAGCATGATGTCCCTTTCTAAGGAGCATATACCCACATTAGTTTATTCTGATCCCAAGATAGCCCTTTCTTCCTCCTCGCAGTCCCTGTCCTACCTTCAAACTATGTTAAATGACCAATGCTTACCATCAGCTCGGCTCTGTGCTAAAATGGTCACAGTTTCACCTTTGGGAATTTCTAACAGGTATAGAACAGCATCCTCCCGAACCAGACCTCTGAAGTCCTGCGTGTTCACCTGATGGGAAAGACAAACAGAATACAGAAAATGCATAATGATGTGACAACCAGAGCAAATACTAAAGCCTTCAGTGTCTGATCAGTCCTGCCCAGCACCTGCTGTGGGCTTGCCTGGGGCGCATGCTCTGATGCACTATCTCCTTACACGCTGATCACCCTTTAGGAATGTCCATCAGGGAAGGCTGGATCAGAGTTCTTTGTGATGAGATCAGTCACTCTGTTTTCCTTGAGTCTCCGTAGATGTGATAGGGCAGGTAATACACAAGTGTGAAGCAGCTGTAACTATGTGACACCTTGTTGTTGTATGCCATCGAGTTGGAACCCACCCACAGCTGACTCTACAGCAGGTTTTCAGAGACAATAAATCCCACAGGAGACTGTCCCTCTTCATTCTGCAGAGAACTGGTGGATTCGAATCGTGTGCTAATTTAGCGGTAAGGAATTGCACTGTCAACACAAAGCCATGTGGGTGTTTTTATTGTGACACACAAAAAAAGACATTTGGAACCCTACCTCTTAGAACATTTTGAATCCTACACCTTTAAAATGTATACATTTTGAATCCTGTGTCTTTAAACCATTCTAAAACAGAATAGTTACAAATAAGTTAAATGCAAATATTCTTCTTAAAGTAGCTAACAGTTTAGTATTATATTACAGAAAAGGGGATATGGAATTTCTAGGAAATAATTCTTTAGTTATCCAAGACTGCAGAAAGAATCTCTTTAATTGTAACAGTAAAATATTATTATTATTTTAAAAATTCTCATTAGTTGGGCCACAGTATGTCAGATACTGGGCTAACCAAAAGGTCAGTGGTTTGAATCCACCAGCTGCTCGGTGGGAGAAAGACATGTCTGTTTCTTCCCATTAGGGGTTACAGCCCAGACACCTGCTGGAGGGTGGTCATCATCACAACTGACTCAGGGGCAGTGGGCTTGTTGTGGTTTGTGTTTTTTCTTTTGGTGGGGGTGAGATTAAGTTAGAAAATGATTCAGTGAAAACAAGCATTAGATGTAAACATGGGTGTTGCTTAGAAAATGAAAAGGGTTGCCTAAGAAATGAAGTTAGTTTTCTCTGGAATAAGATTTAGCATTTAAGATACCTGCTTCCACCTTTCCATCTCTTAATTGGGAAGCACTGCACTTTGTTATTACTTCTTATATAATTTTTATCTACCTTTGCATGGTTACATGTATGCGTTTACTTGACCTGATGTATGCTTACTTAGGACTGTTGTGGTTATTGTGTCCTGTAGAGTCGGATCCGACTCATAACAGGTTTTCAGGGGCAGGCCCAGTCTTCTCCCACAGAGCAGCTGGCGTCCTCAATGTGCCTTCGGGATTGCAGTGCAGCTTCTTGCCACTAGGCCACCAGAGCTTCCCTTACTTAGGTCTATAGCTTGCAAAAATGTACTGTCCTACAACTGAAAGGCTAGTGATTCAAACCCGACCAGCAGAGCCACAAACGCCCAACCATCAGCTTCCATTAACATTTTAACCAAGAAAACCCTCCAAGATAGCTTTACTCTGCACACATGGAATAACAATGATCAAAATTGACTCAGTGGCAATAAGCCTGCTTTGGGGAATTGTTTATAAGCTGCTTATGAAGTCTGTTGTTGTTAGGTGCCGCCGAGTTAAGTATGACTTAATCTATGAACAACAGATCTGAACTCTGTCCTATCCTGTGTCAGCCTCACAATTTCTGACATACTCAAGTCCATTGCTACAGTCACTGTGTCAATCAACTTGTCTGAGAATCTTCCTCTCCTTCCTCATCCCTCCATCTTTCCAAACATGATGTCCCTCTGTAAGGAATAGCCTCTCCTGGTAGCATGTCCAAAGTATGTGAGATAAAGCTATGAAGTCCAAGGTGGTACAAACAGTTAATTCACTCAGCTGAAAGCCAAAGTCTGGTGTCTCAGGAGAAAGTCCTCATAATTTACTCCTGAAGAATCCAGCCACTGAAAATCTTATGAGGTTCTGAAAACCTTATGAGGTTCTGCCCTGGCACATGGGCGTCACCATGAATCAAGAATCCCCTGGACAGCAACTGTCGGTGTACGTCATCATTCATTTAAATATGAGACAGGGTCACAAGTTGGGACAGACCTGGAATGTCCTCCATCCATCACAATGGCCAACAAGTCTGACCTTCAGTCAAGGTTAAAGCATAATGGTCTAAAATATTTTGGAGTGGGTTTTTCCAAGGGTGGTGAACTAGACTGTGGTAATAGTCATCACAGTATGAATATAATTAATGCCACTGAATAGCTCACTACTGCTGTTATGTACTGTTAAATGGGACCTGGCCCTCCAGCAGGTTTTCAGATGCCATGAATCCAATAGGAGGAGACTGTCCATCTTTCTGGAGCAGCTAGTGGATTCAAACTGCTCACCTATAGGTTGGCAGTATAGCTCCTTACCATATTTTATGCTATGTGTATTTTACCACAACTAGAAAAAGAAATATATTTTTTAAAAATGAAAAAAAGATATAAAAAAGCACCCTGGTTGCCACATTTTAAAAGCCACAGCTGTGAATCAACTTGTGAAGGTTCTTTGCCCTCCTTCCCACACCCTCTTAAAAGTTTTTCAAAGAGAAATGACATCTATATTAGAAAAATAGTAAGTAGAGATAGTCATGTCAAACACCTGAAAACAAGTGCATTCCTGCTACTGATGGGGCACAGGGTGCTCTCCAGCACTACACACTGACACTTCCCTCCCACAAACCCAGCCCTCACCTCTAGAAAAGGAGAAGCTGGTTTACCCTTGGAAGATGGAGGTGCCTGACAGGGAAGAGCCACCTAGCCCCTGGGGAGAGCTGCCTGTGTATGAGGAACTTTATCTAAGAAGCCACTTTCCTCCATCTCCTCCTCCAGTACAGCTGTAAGGAACACCTCCAAAGCTCTTTTCTTTGTATCTTATGAGTTTGTTCTCTCTAGATTTGTTCCCTTTCCTCTAAGTAACCTGAACACTGAGTCTTATTCCACAATCTGAACACTAAGCCTGGTTCCAAAGACAAAAGGGAAGTATAACTGCCAGCCAAGGAGGTGAATGGAGCCTCAAAGTTCAGCCAGCCACTCACAATGGACTCACCCAAACACCTTGCAGTCCAAAGGGCAGAAAATGTCATGAAAATATCTTCTAACTGAACAAGGCACGTAGCCTCAACTCAAGACAACAAGTAAAGTGTTAACATGGGCCCCTCTTCTCCTTCATCTTAATACCCCTGTTCAGCAAGAAGCAGCCAGAGAGTCTGCATCCCTATTCCCAAATGGGAAACCCACAAATAAAAAAGACAATCTCAATGTAAAAAAAAACAAAAAACAAAACACCCAAAAAACAAAAAACCAAATAACCAAAAAAAACTTTCCCCAAACAGAAAAAAGTATCTAGCATCTGCTCACGTTTCACCTCTTAACTTGAGCCCGCTGAAACGAATGAGGGTAGAAAAGCTAGGGCAGCACTTTCATCCATAAAGGTTAGACTGTGTGGTCCTTTCCAAGAAATATCCTCTTTCACTTGCTAGTCAGTAGTCTGCAGGGTACAGCTGAGTCTGCTGTGAGCCTGCAAGGATCCCGGTATCAGCTCCAGCTAAAGACTGTGTAGCAGCTTCTCTGTCTAGGAGGGCAAACTCCATCCTCCCCAGCCCTCTGTAGAACTAACATCTCCTTTTGTAATCAAGACCAGTTTAACAATGCATAAGACCAACTAAGACCTGACCACCACATGAGACAACTGCAGAAGCAGCCAGATCCACCCTTCCTTCCTTCTTGCCAAAGTGGCAGGACCAGCTCCATAGGTCTACACCAACTCATGGCAACCGCATAGATGTCAGAGAACTGTGAGCCAATGGTGGTTCAAAGGCTGAGGTTTTTCAAGTAGATTGCCAGGCCTTTCCCCCAAGGCACTTCTGAACATAGACTTGAACCTCCACTTTCCAGTTAGCAGTCAAGATATTAACCATTTACATACATCTCCTTGAGTTGTGGTTCTGGTTCTTTTAGGGTATTTTCCCAGCAGCAGAACTGCTGAGTAAAATGGTATTTCTATTCCCAACTTTCTGAGAAAGTGTCACTCCCTTCCATAGTAGTACTCAGTCACAAAGGGATAAATACTGCATTAACGCTCCTGTTATAAAATAGGAGGGGCGTGGGAATGGGGAAAGAGTGAATAGATAATGAGCACTGCAGGAGAAGAGATGAGGGGAAGAACTGTTTGAAAGGAATACATGATTATGCATCATAGGTATAAGAACAATCTGGAACAAGGAGTGCCTTGTAGGGTGAGTTAGGGGAGGGGGGGAAAGATGGAGGGAGAAAATATGCAACAATGAATAAGTTAAATAAAACTGGTTATAAAAAGAGACAATAACCATTTATACCAGCCAAGGACTCCAGCTAGGATGATAATTGCAAACAAAACCATTAACTTGAGTACAAATGTTGAGTTTCATTACTTGTTACTTACAGAAATGACCCTCCCGGTCTTTAGCAACTTACAGAGACTGTTGCTTGTCAAATCCTTTGGTGAATTCACTACTTTTCTTCAGAGGGCTTCAAGAGAATCTCCCCCAGAGAGTAAAAGGTTTTATCCTGAACTTGCATGAGCCAAGGCTTCTAAATTTCTAGCTTACCTCTCTACAACCTCAATAACAAACAAAACACAGTTGGCACTGAGTTGACCTCAGCTCATAGTGACCCCTCTGTCTAAGCTGAACTGCACCCCATAGGGTTTTTCAATGGCTGATTCATCAAAAGTCACCATCAGACCCTCTGTTCGGTACCTCTTGGTGGATCTGAACCTCCTCCAACTTTCAGTTAGCAGCCAATCATAAGAAATGCTCAGACCACCCAGGGATTTGAGTCTCTTAGTTGCTAACTGCTATCAAGTCTGTTCTAACTCATAATGTGCAAAGTTTTATTCTCTGAAGACTTCTCAAGGCTGTGACCTTTCAAAAGCAGATTACCAAGCCCATCTTCCGAGGCACCTCTGGGTGCATCAACGATAACCTTTCAGTTAGCGGCGGGACACCACTCACTCTACAATGTCCTGAGTTGAGAAAGAGACTTTTTGTCCTTTAGTATTAGCCCAGGAGTGCAGGGGTATGAGCTGGCACTCAAAGGGGAGTTTTATCTTCGTGGCTGGCATTTCCTGGGATCTTGTGGTCCAGCGGTTCATGCGGGTACCTTTAGCCTTCCAAGATGCTGAGCAGAGCCAAGTAGAGTCTAGGATGTCATTAGAAAGCTCATGATCAGGGTTTTGCCCTTCATTTGCTCCAGAAACGAAATCTGAACTACTGCAGTGGGGCCGGAAGCCACGGTGGAGGAGGGCCTCTGCTTCAGCAGACTGCAGCTGGGAATCCCACACCTTTCCTCCCCCTCACCCCAGCCCACAGCTCTTAACAGACCTCCAAAGTGATCGCATACAAATTTTCAACTAACATCAGTGAGAAAACGAAAATCATACATGAGAACCTCAAGTTTATAAAGGGAAAGTCTCAAGAGGCAGGTGTCCATCATTCTTATTTATTTTGTATCCATGAGGTACCTTAACATTGCAGAAGCATTTTTATCAGTCAATGAAAATAACATTCTATATAAATTAAAGGGTAATCTGGTAGCCTAGTGGTTAAGAAGCTGCAGTGCAATCCCAAAAGCACAAGGTTCCAATTCCCCAGCTGCTCCAAAGGAGGATAGGCAGTCGCAGTCTCCTCCTATGTGATTAACTACTTCTGAAAACTTGCTGGAGGGTCAGCTATGAGTTGGTTCCAACTTGATGGCACATACCAACAACAGATACTCTAATATGTCACAGCTGAGTGACTATTTTTAATTCTTCAAATTCAGTCACATGCTCTCTCACTCTTAATGTCACTGAGTCAAAAGCGACTCCCAGCTGAACCCCTCCGGTTTTCAGAGGTGGTCAGTCACGTGGTAATAGACTGGTCTTCCTCCCTCAGAGGGAGAAACCCTGCTGTCTCTCACATGGGAAGAGATGCTCTTCTTCCTCCCTCAGGGGTCCTGTTGGGTTTGAACATACAGACAGCCGTGGCCTTTGCTTAGCAGTGTATCTCTCTACCAATTACACCACCAGAGCTCCCTTCAACCAATGGATTACACAAACTTTTAAAGTATCAAACATTTGTTTGGTTAGAAATTACCTTTCTTGTAAAATTTTAGAAACATCAGAGCATAGACATCTGCTATCTGCTGTTTTCCACTGGAAGACACTAGCACCCCTGCTCCAGGAGCCATCCATACGACCGATTGTCATCTTCCCAGCGTCTCTGTGAGGTGAGCATTCTCACCATCTTGAACAGACACAGAAGCCTGACTCGCCGAGGCTTTGCCAAGGTCATTTCACTATGAGAACCTGAGACTCAAGGCAGAGGGTCTGATACCAATATCTTCCCTCCCCTGAACTGTTACAGCCCACCGCCTTAACGTAATACGCCACACAAAGGGGAAACCCAAGATCAGAAAAATCATCTGAAAGATCTTTCTCTTTTTAGCCTCAATTAAATTTTTTAATCAAACTGATACAAATTTCCAAGGGTCTTAACCAGCTCATTTGGAGCTGACTTTAATGCTCGGTGGCCACATGTGTTGCCAGAGTAGAACTTTGTTCCTTTGAGTTTTGAGTGGCTAATATTATGGAAGTAGATTTCTAGGCCTTTCTTTAGAAGTACCTCAAGGTGGGCTTGAACTCTGAACCTTAGATTAACAGCAGAGCACATTAACCATTTATACCATCCAGCAACTCCCTGCAAGGGCCTTAACCACTATGAACTGCCACGGACAAGAGGATAAGCATTCAGCTCCAGGAACTGAGAAGACTGACTTCTTGTCAGGGAAACGGAGTTCTCACTGCTCTGCATCAACAAAGCTGCAACTGCTCGGTTTTCCCCACACAGAATCACTTCTCCCAGTTCCCTCCCTGAAGGAAGAACTCCTGAAAACCTCACTCTGTCCATGGAACTTCCAGAAACAGGGAGGCATGTTCCTTACCTTCAGAATCTGGTCCCCCTCCTGAAGGCCTTCCTGCTCTGCCGAGGTGCCCTCCTGAATGCCAGCGACAAATATGCCGACATCATTGCCACCAGCCAAGCGAAGGCCCACGCTGTCGCCCTTCTTGAACCTCACCATTTTGGTATCAGGGCTGCCGCGGTCCATTCCAGAAAGGAGAGATGAAAAGCAGGCTCAACATGAACAGAGATTTCATTTCTTCTATCTACAGAGTATTTTTCAGATTTCTAACTTTTCTTATGTATTCTATGATTTCTCTTCCTTGGAACTAAAAACAGCACCACGGAACCTGTCAGTAGGAATCTAATAGGCTTTTTCTTGCGTTTTGAGTCTCAGAAGTCTCCATCTTTGATGGGGTGCAGTCACCACTCTTCTGTTCTCTTTGTTTAGGGCAAAACATTTGCATTTCCTTCTCTGACAAGTTTCCACCTTACACCCTCCTAGCTCTCACATGTTTTACTACAGGAGGCCTGTACAACGGCTGAAACAACAAAAATATGTAATGCTTGAAAAAGCTCATTTATGACTGTCAAGCAAATGATGGGCATAGTTTGGATTTTAATTGGTGTCACAGGGCTTCCAGGAGAGGATACTTTCAAATGAAATCCTGTCAGGACTCTTGCCTGGTGGAGATACCATCTTGGCCCAGGAAAGCTGGATCTGAACCCTAAGGCGGCCACTCCTGACCACCACTGATCAAAGGTCTGTTCCCTTTGCATATACAAACATACTTCAAGATCAGCATGTCACCATTTCTCAAGAGAAACACTATCACTTCAGCAGTACTTCCCCTATCCAGAATTTATTCATCCAGCAAACACAAAAATTTAAGTAGACAGACAAGCAGACCAAGTGAACATATGCTACTTCTTCATTTTATTTATCTTAAAAATAATCTCTCTCTCTCATAACTGCTAGCAGCAGGGGTGGGTTAAAGATGACGGAGGATAAACAGAACCACTACCATTTGTATGTAAAACCTCCGTTCTTCTGGATCTCAACTAAAGAGACAGCTGGAAGGAAGAAGAAAAGAGAAAGGCTGCCATACATACCCATATATGGCTTCGTCTTCAGGACTAGGGCGAAGAAAGGTTCTTGGGGGCGCTTTTGGTTGAAAAGCTGTGGATTAAACAGTATCTCCTATTATCAAACTGAACTAGCAGGCTGTGTGCGTGGGTGGGGGGTTGTTTTGGTTTTTTTAGGAGAAGCGACTCAACAGACTTTATTCAATATTTTAGGACAAAGGAAACTAGCGATACAAAATACATCAGATGCAATGTTCTCTTGTACTGGAATCTCAAACCATCTGCAATGGTTTACGAAATGCTCACACACCAGAAACAAAAAGCTTAACACAAAAGCTTTCTCACTTCCACTGTAATAAATGCAATGTTAACATTATTTTTAAATTATCAGGATCATAAAATCGACAAAACAAGTGAAAACTGTACCTTAGGTTATATATTTATTTGTCAACATGTCAACAAGGGGAAGTGTACTCTGAGGTAATGTTGTTGGATGTTCTCAGGTTGACTCAAAGCAACTCCATGTGACAGTGTGGAACTGCACCATTAAGTTTTCTAGACTCATCGTCAGGGGAACAGTTAACCAGGCCTTTCTCCCATGGACCAGCAGGCTAGATTCAAGCAATTAATCTCTCAGCAGCCAAACACTTAGCCATTGCATCCTCAGAGCTCCACTGAGGCAACAGCAGGCACCAACGGCCTCTCAAAATAAGAAAACGAACCTCCCAAACACAAAGTAATTAATTCAATGTATTAGAAAACACCATTTTAGGACGAGAAAATCCTATAAAAATGCTATGACTTTGTTCTGAAAGGATCGATATTTATTTTTGTAACATCCATATAACTGCAGGGAGGCAGTGGAGTTTGAGGAATGGGGTGAGGACCAAGGATAGGAGGTAAAAGAGACCTCAACTAATCAAATGAGACAAAGCCTAAACAACATGTAGATTCTGTTTATAAAGACAGAAAGACCTGTTATGTCCTTTCTATTTTCTCGGCATTAAAAGGAATAGACAAAATAGAGACCTCTTCTACAAACGAGATTTATTTTTTTTTAATCATTTCTCTCTCTCTCGTTCCAGTTACCTTCTGAGATGATCAAGTGCACAAATCTGAAGGCAGAATTTTGAAACAAGCAAGAAAAAGCCTCACCTGGCGGTTCCTCCTGGTGCCTGGGTTCCTTGCTGGTCTCGGCGCCATCTGCAGCTGCAGTATCACCAGTGGACTTAAACGGAGTGGGCGTGGCTCCCATCCTGGACAACCGGCCCGCTGTGTCCTCTCTTGAACTAAAGCAGACATCATGTTAGCATCTCACAACATTGCAACAGATTCACAAATACTCCTGGGTGGACACTAACTGAGCAACAGAAAACACACATCATCTTACTTTGGCCTTTCCTTCAGCTTTTCGCTGGAAGAGTGATAGTCACAATCAGAATACTGCTGCCTTCTCTCATCTGGCGAAAAGGATCTATTTGACTCTATTTCGGAGATATCTGGTTATAAAAAGAAAAAAAAACTCTTTAAGCTATTACTTAAGACTTCTAGAGAAAATACACTAATCCTCTGTGTAGAAAAACATGTAAAAGTGAGAAAGAGATATTAAAGGTGCTATTAGTTTAATATTCTTCCCTAGAAAATGCTGAGTTTTAAGGAAAAGGCATTAATCAATAGAGAAGATGCCAAAATCAGAATTTTATGTCTCCATCAAAGCAGCTACTGAAAATTCACCAATTAAGTGTCGGGTGATGTATGCATATTCATATGATTATATTCATACAACAGAGCATCTCAAACACTGCACAGAGACGGTCAGCACAGAGAGTAGTGACTCTGCCCAGGGGCCTGAAAACCAATGATTCTACCAAGTGACCAGATGAGGCTGCTGGGACCTCATGTATCTGTCAAGGACCATACTTTGGGTAACAATAAAAGAAATCATAATTTGTTAACTTCCTGCTGGTTCCCAGGTTCGCTCTGCTGCTTCAGCTGACTCACTACACAGCATAGTGACTGACAGAACAGAAGTTTAAGGACTGACACGTATGACACTACAAAACAAAGTAAACCTGAAGGATTTATAAAGAAATGCATTAAAAGACAACAAAATTAGTTTTAAAATGAGAGCTTAATATTTTCCAATCATTTCTGTACAGCAGCATTATCAGATAATAAAGAAGGAAATAATCACAACTACTTCTTTTTACAAGGTGACTGTTATCCTTGGTATAATGCACATTCAAGCAATGAATATGACATTTTTAAAAAGAGAAGAAATAACATGGATCGCCAGTCGTGACCAGGACAGGATCCAGCATGCTGATCAATTCTTTGTGTCTATGCCCCAAATCATTTCCTCCTTCCTGTAAATATTAATGGCCACTTAAAAAGTAAAATCAGACAAGGAAGCTTGAGAACAAGCAATTAACAAATGTATAATGATCTGGTTAGTTCTCGGAACCATTTGTACAGATGTGTTTTTGGTTCCAGTGGTCTAAATTAGAGTCCACTGGGACCTCACAATCAAACCACAATTTCCTGTTAGAAACATAATTTCAACAGACACTTTAATATGAAAATAACCACCAAGCACTTATCTCTTAGAATTAATGATTCAGATGGAGTTTCTCTGAAAGCAAAGAGACTTCCCTGGGGGGCTCAGGGTTCATACAGACTATGCATGCCAAGCTCTCCCCTGAACCATCGGCTGCTAGACTGACATGAACTCTGGTAGAAGGTTCCTGACAAGGGACTCAGAAGTGGATCACAGAAGTGGAGGCTGCTCCTCCAACCCCCATATGGGCACCAGAGCTCTGAAGCCACTAAGATAGATCTTTTGAGGTCCTCTGGGGAAGACCAGTTCCTCTTCTCTTGAAACAGAGGTGCAGCCTGCCTATTCATTCCCTCAATGCCAGCCAGCTGGGATAGTAGCAGCTGAGAGAGAGAGAAGCAAGCCTGGAGCAAAACCAGAGGGTAACACTCAGGCCCTGGAAGGGGTCTGTGAGGTGTGGGGTTTCCAGATTGCCAAAACAGAGAAGGGGAAGGAAAGACAGAGACAAAGAGACAGAAAGGGAAAGGAAATGAACTGATATCTGTGGTGGAGAGGGTGACTGATCCACACTATCTTTTCTGACTGATGGTGGATAGACCAACCACAGCCTGTTCTCTGGTTTGTTTGAAAGAGATTGAAAACTGATTCCCAGGAACTTTTGAATCCTAGTTAGAACAGCAAAGGCAAGGAGCACAGACAGTAAGCAAATACCAAAGGCTCTGCCCACAGAAGAGGTTCTTTGCAGAATATACTGTTAGAAAAACCAACAAATACTTGGGAAAACTGAGAAAGTTAACATCACTGAAAATTCTAATGCCTCAATAAAAATATCAAGACTAATTACAGAGAAATGATGCTACATCCAAATAATCACAAAAAAGGGCTAAAATATTTTTAAATGCAAAAAAATAAAAAAGAGATAATGCAACTGAAAAAGACAATAACAGAAATGAGAAATGTATAGAAGGATTGATCAACACATTAAATTATGCAGAGGAAAGAATAAGCAAACCAGAGGATAAGACACTTAAAATTATAAATGCTAGAGAACAGCAAGAAGCAGGGCTCATGAAGACTGAGCGTAGTTTAATGGTATTATGAGACAACAAGAAGAAACCTAATATGTACATCATGGAAATTCCTGAAGTAGAGGAGTGAAAGGGTTATTTAGATAGAATATTTCCAAAGGAGAGAAATTTCAAAAGGAGAGAATGAGACAGAAAGAAATAATGACCAGAAAAAAAAATTCCAATCTAATGACGGACATGAATCTACATATCAAAAAAACCTCAAAGAATCCGTCAGCAGTATAAAATCAGAGACCTACACAAAGACACATCAGAGTTAGGCACTCAGCAAATAAAAATAAAGACAGGATCCTGACAGAAGGGAGAAAAAGACCAAACAGCCTCACACAAAGGGTCTCCAGTAAGATCAAATGCCATTTTTCTCTTCAAAATACTGGAGGCCAGAAAAAAAAATAGAATGATAGATTTAAGTGCAGGGGGAAAGTATGGGGAGGAAGGGAATCAGAATTCATTAAGAATAATATACCCAGGGCAATTATACTTCAAGAATAAGAATGAAAGGAAACCTTCTCCAGACAATCAGAAGCAAAAAAAGTTCATGTTCACCAGGCCAACCCTACAGAAAATAAAGCATTCTGTAAATGGAAGAGATAAGACCCTAAGAGGTATAAGGTATTTAGTGTTTGATAACTCTAAATGTTTTGTGCTTCATGTTTTGAAGTAACAAATATATAAACACCAAGGATAAAATTATATTATATTATATTATATTATATTATATTATATACGAAAGATGTTAACTAGTGATAACAACAATAAAAATGGAAGAGAGGGATGGGATAGATACAAATATCTCATATGTCATTTAAGTCACGTAAGTAGGTAGCAATCTAACACAGAACATTACAAAAACATGTTTTTTGGGACAATATTCACAGTAACCTTTAAGAAAATACATAGTAAACATACAAAATAATGAAAGGACAGGGGAATTAAAAGGCTCACTGTAATAAACTAATAATATAATGAGCAGTAGACAAAGGCCAACACAAGGCTTAAGACACAAAAAAATAAGTGACAGAAGGGCAGGAGTGAGTCCTTGCATATTAGTAATAAAACTATCTGTAAACAACCAAATGTTCCAATCAAATGGGAGAATTGCAGGATGGATTAAACACACACATGCACACAATCTAACAATAAGCGCTTTACAACAAACACATTTTACAGGCAATGACACAAATGGGTTGCAAGTGTAAGGAAAGGAGGTGGGGAGCTTTCTATGGGAATAAGAACGAGAAGAGAACAGAGTAGCAATCTTGGTATTAAACAAAGTGGAATTTTTTTCTTTAAATTATACTAGTTTATTTACAAAATTTGAATATATTGTTTTCAAACAAAGTAGATTTTAAGATAAAATCTATGAGAAGAGCCAGAGAGGGACATTCACCCCATAACACTGACTACTGTTTGGATGAGAGTTGAGCCAAAGGGTTGAGTTTTGTTCCAAAGGGTGGCCAAAGGCCGGTCTCAGGAGTTCTACCAGGCCCTATGAGACCAGTAAAGAACTCTGATCTGTAAGGATGTGAACTGCCATGTCTTTATCCTACACAGGTGTTACTGAGTTTAAACTACTTTTGATTAAGCAAGCAACTGCTTTAACCACTCTTACACTAAAGCACCAAAACAGCATAATATACATTCTTCTCTAGTGCACTTGACCATTCTCCAGCATAAATCACACATGAGAATATAAAGCAAGTTTGAGAGATTTTGAAAAACTGATGTTCTACCAAGCTTTTCTGTGATCACAATAAAGCTAAGTTCAAAATGATTAACAGGGGGAAAACCCCAACAACCAAGAAAACACACAAATATACAGAAATTAACCTACCAATGGATCAAGGAAGAAATTGTTAATTTCTATGAGACTAATGACAATGAAAGCATAACATGCTAAAACCTTACAGAATGAACTAAAATGTATAGCAATAAATGCCTACAGTTTAAAAAAATCAACTATCTCACATTAAGAACCTCACTGACCAATCCCAGAGGTATATGGTTCAAACCCACCAGATGCTCTGCCGGAGAAGGAGGGACAATCTCCTCCTGTACCAGTCGGATCTGATTTGACGGAACACAAACAAAAAAATAATAAAATTTTTTTTTAAAAAAAGAACCTCACTGACAGTTCGACTGACTGGAGAGAAAGAATAAAGTTAACTTTAAACCTTCCAGAAGAAAGAAAAATTTAAAAAAAAAAAAAAACCTTCCAGAAGAAAGGAAATAATAAAGATCAGAGGAGAAATAAAATCTGAAGAAAAAATAAATAAATGGAGAGAATTAATAATACTAGAAGTTCGTTATCTGAAAAGTTCAGGCAAACTTTTAGCCAATGACCGAAGGGGGTGGGGGGAGAAAAAGATGCAAATGAGCAAAGCAAAAACTGGAAAGAGGGTCTGTTTTGTCAACTGACCTGGCATTAAAAAAAAAATTATGATTAAATTTTGTGAACAACTGTACAGTAACAAACTAGATGTTGTTGTTGTTGTTGTTAGGTGCCATCGAGTCAAACAGAATTCATAGTGACCCCCTGAACAAAAGATCTTAACCAAAGGGGGGGAAAAAAGATCTTAACCCTGTTGTGTCCTGCGCCATCCTTACACTTCCTGACACACAAGAGCCCACTACAGCAGTCACCATATCAATTTACTTGGTTGAGGGTCTTTCTCTCCTTCACCAACCCTCCATTATTCCCAGCATCATGTGTCTCTTCAAGGAATAGCCCCTCTAAGCAACATGTCCAAAGTATGTGAGGTGAAGCCTCATCATTCTTGCCTCCAAACTGCACTCTCGCTGTACCCTCTCCAAGATATATATATCTGTTTGTTCTCTTGGCTGTTCATGGGATGTTCAGTGCTCTTCTCCAACACCACAGCTCAATTCTTTTTCTGTCATCCTTATTCAGTGTCCAGCTCTCAGATGCACAGCTGGTAACTGAAAAGACTATGGCCTGCATCAGACACACATTAGTCTTCAAACTGACATCACAACTCCTCAATAATTTGGAAGGGTCCCTAACTGCAGATTTTCCCATTGCTATGTGTCTCCTTATTTCCTGACTGCTGGTACCAAGGATGTTAATTGTGGATTCAAGCAAGATGAAGCTGTTGACAGTTTCAATCTCCTCTCCTTCCATCGTGACGCTGTCTATGAGTCGAGTGGTAAGAATCTTTGTTTTCCTGACACTGAGATGCAATCCATAACGAAAACTGCACTCCTTGATCTTCTGCAACAAGTGCTTCAAGCCCTCCTCACTTTTAGCAAGGAAGGTTGTATCATCTGCATAACAGGGGTTATTGATGAGTCTCCCTCCAGTCCTGATGCCACACTCCTCCTCATGGAGTCCAGCTTCTTGGATAATTTGCTCAGCATACAGATTGAGTAAGTATGGGTAAAGAATACAATGCTGGCACACTTCCCTTCCCAATTCCAAACCATGCAGTGCTTCCCTGCTCCATTCATTCGCACAAGAGCCTCCTGGATAGCTTAGATAACATGGACAGACCCCCCCCCCCCAAAAAAAATGGACAGACCCTTGGAATCATAACCTATATCAATTGGTGCTAGAGGAAACAGTTTCAAGAGATCTGTAACAAGTGATTGAAATCAGTGAATAAATACCTTCTAAGATAAAAAGTCCTAGAATAGATACCAATGCTAGTACAAATACTATTTAAATGTTCCAAAACATAGAGAAGAAAGGAATAGGAGAAACCAAGTCTTAATACAGGGTACAATGTAAACGGAGCTGGAAGATATGCTGAGTGAAATGAGGTATTCACAAAGGGATAGATATGATATAAAGTCACTTTAAAAAGAAGTAAATGTATAAAGAATAAAGTTTTTTAGTGGTTACCATGGGTGGGATGGGGGTGGGGGAGGAAACAGCTAATGATGACTGAAAAATCACACTGACTATGGGTAGAGTTGCACAGCCAGTTACTGTCAGTCAGTTGTACATCTCTAAAAAGTTGAGCTGGCTAGACCAGTGTGATTGATAGATTTAGAGCAAGAATAAGAAAGAGAAGCTGCTGAGGCTGCTTATGTACCACCAAAAGCCTTACAGTGTTTGGTTCTTTGTCTTGAAAATTTAAGGTCATGGTTTCACGGGGCAGCCAAGTTAATGGGCCTATTGTGTTTAGGAAATCCTAAACTACATCCTAGCTCACTGTGTAGTCTCTGATGTCATAAAAGCTTGCAGGTGGCCATCTAAGGTAAGCCAAAACAGACCCTTAAGTCTTCTTGAAACCAAACAATAGTAGCTTAACTAGTAAAAGGTTCTGATCTATTGTTTATGGGGTTACTATGAGTGGTAGTCAACAGAACCTAACATAGTGGCGTTATTCACCCTCAAAAGAATATAGAAACAGACCAAATGTCCAACCACGATCGAATAAACTGAGAAATATGGTACATTCATATGATGCAATACTGCGCAGTATGCAGGAGCAAGATTTAAAAAATTAACACCTAACTTGGGAGGGTCTGGAGAGCATCATGCTGAGTGAATTAACTCACTCCCATAAGGACAAATACTGTATAAGACCATTGTTGTAGAAACAGAAAGCTAACTAATAAACTGTGTATGAGGATCCAACGGGGAGAGGGTAGGAGCAGTGGGGTGAGATGGGCAGAGGGTAACCACAAGGTCATACAGTTTCACAGGTAGAGGGAGGGGTGGGTAAAGGAAATAGGAAAGATCTGGTGTGAAAAACAATGTATACAAACTTTGTAAGTAAACTAGTACAAAATAAAAACACTATTTTAAAAAAAAGAGGGGAAAAAGAATGCCTGCTTTGACCACTAAGACTCCTTTAAGAACTATACATATGGGACAAACTGTTAACACTAATGATCAGATAGGAACTCCAGGGACAGAAATAGATATTAACTGGGGAGGGAGATGGGATAAGAATGGTCACAAAATTCAAACGCCATCATTGTTATGCAATAATCCACGTATAAATGGCTAAACCGGCTTATATTTTTATATGAACAGTCTCAACAAAATATAGCATTTTGTTGTTGCTGATGATGATGATGATTGTCATAGAGTTAAGCACAACTCATAGCGACCCTATGAACAAAAGACCTGAAGCCTTTCTATAACTATCGTCGTTTCTCAAAGTTCATAGAGTTCTCAGAGGCACGTTGTTTAGGAAGTGGATGCCATTTCAAGAAATAAAATTATTGAAGGCTGATGGAAATATAATTTCCAGCTAGTTAACTATGCTGCGTAGCAAGCAGAATGCCTTCCTTGCTAAGCTGACAAACTCCAGTTACCGTCTATCTCTGAATCGCTGTCGTTCAGGGACGGGATGTTGATGAGGGTCTGCCTGCTGTCTCTCAGCACCACCAGCTGGAGTTTTCCTCTTGACTTTTCTATCAGTTTTCGAGCATCCGTTAAAGACATGTTCTCAGTGACAGTTCCATTGATCTGCATTAATGAAAAACAGTAACATTACATACGAGGAACAATGATGGCAAAACTGTGAGGTGTTTGGCTACACATGTTTATTTAAGGTTAGTGATTCAAACTCACCCAATGGCACTGTGGGAGAAAGACTTGGCAATTTGTTTCAATGAAGATTAAAGTAAAAAAACCCATCTGGGGCAGTTTTTCTCTGACACAGAATCATTACGAGTTGAGATCAACTAACAAGTTGGGTCCCAACAATACCAGTCATATACTATCACCATTTGTCAACAAAGGAGAAAATTCCTATTAACCCCTGCTAAGAAAGTAACAGTTCTATTCAGATATTCAAACAGACATGGGCTTCAGAGTAACTGGCTAATTAAAAATGAATTACACTTTAAATTAAATACAACCCAGTATATTTATATCCTCAATTCAGACATGAAATGACTATAGTGTACTTAAGTTACTCTGCTAATTTATTTACCTTCCAAACTCAAGACAATGGCTTGCTTTACTCTGAAACATATTTCCTGGCCAGATAGGTTTATAAAAACTATGAAATATTCAGTGTTAATAATGCCACCAACTCTCCTTCTCAACTTTGTTTCTTTCTTGGAACTTCCAGGTCAATAAACAGAGAAGAAAGCAGTGGTTGAGGCTTCCCAGAATCCTAACATTAAACAAATCTCAGAGTCTTGTTTTTCATATCAAAATCTTCTCATGTGAGTTATAATCAATGTCACTGAATTGTTCAAGTAAACTTCTGAATCAGTAAGGGAAAAAAAACACATTCAAACAGAACTTTAGAAAGATGCAGGGATACTGAAATGTATTTAACTTAAAGGATAAAAAAGAATACAGACACACACACACACGTTGAACTGTCGAACCAAGTCATACCTGCCCCTTCAGTCTCTACTGGGATTTCATACCAGAGGAGACTGCCCATCTTTCTCCTAAGGAGCAACTGGTGAATTCGAACAGCCTATCCACTTGCCTTAGGGTTGGCAGCTCTACTCCCTACCCATCAGGCCGTCAGGTCTCTGGAAGCTTAATAGGAAGGAGTTACACTCCTACCCAAAGGCTTGAAGTTCTAATCCACCAGCTGCTTCAAAGAAGAAAGATGAACAGTCTCCTCGCATGAGATTTACAGCCTCTGAAAACCCACTGGAGACTGGAGAGTCGGGTATATGTTAATTCCATCTTGACAGTGTATACCAACCAAAAAAAAAAAAATACCTGCAAAAAAAAAAAAATACCTGCACACACACACACACACACACAAACTACATCATACATAATGTATGTACAAGACAAGCATACATAAAATTCCACAAGCAAAAAGACCATCTCCCAATGCTTTTCTTTCAGTCCTGTTTTTCTGCAAGGCCCTATCCCAACAAGGTTTCACTGTCTTGGCACATGGGTATAAAAATGCAGGCAAACCATGAAGCCAGAATGAACACGAGTGTCCTCCACTCTCTGCCCACCTTGAGAATGATGTCCCCTTCGTGGAGGTTGCCGTCTTTGGTGGCCAGACCCGTTCTGGTCATTTCCTTAATGAAGATCTGACTCCCGAGCCGGAGACCGTACTCTGAAAGGCACACACACAAATGACACATATACCATCACTTCATTCAGGAAATGCAGTCTGGTCTGAAGACTATTTACAAATATTTGGGAAAAAATGTGCTTTATACACAAGGCATTCTACAAGAACACTGGCTTGGGGATCTTAAAAAAGGCAATGTCATGACCAGCCAAAGAGGCAGTGGGGTTACTGTAGATTAAAATAGATACAAAGACAAAAGAGGTACTGAGACATCTTTGGCACAGCTAAACCTTGAAAACATTACACTAGAGAATAAATAAGTGGGCAAATAATATACAATCCTATTATATAATCAAGTACACAGAGCAAATAGTGACCACTGGCTGGCAGGGACCATGGAAAAGGAGGACAGTATTATTGCTGCAGGTACACCAGGTTTTTGTCTGGAGTGAAAAAACAAACTTCTGGAAATGCATAGTGGTGATATCTGCACAACAGTTATTTTACATTGTGGTCACTAAACTATACATGTAAAAATCATTTAAGTGGCACATTTGTGTTGTATATATTTTATCACAATAAAATGAAAATAAGAAACCTCAAGCGCAATGCATGAGCCTTCACCAGATCCTTAGTCCAAAGCAGGGGTTGGGATGAGAACTTCAAAACAGACCGTAGTTGCTGTTGTTAGCTGTTGCTGAGCAAATTCCAACTCACAGCAGCCTCGTGTGTGTGGAGCAGAACTGCTTCCTGTGGTTCAGGAGGAGGCTGGGACCTCTGGGAGGATCATCAGGGCTGTATTCTGGGGTGCCTCTGAACGGGTTCAAAAGTCAACCCACCTGCTAATAGTTAAGCCCTTAACCACCTATACCACCCAGGCACCATAAGATTGTACTATATATTAAAGGGATATTAATGCTAATTTTCTTATAATGACATGCTTATGATGTAGGAGAATGTTCTTGACTTTGGGAAGATACCTATAATTTACTTTCCAGTGATGGAGAAAAAGCACTGGGAGAGAGTGAGTGAGAGAGTTGGTGTGTGTGTAAATAGGGAGGGGAGAGAGTGAGAAAGAAAGCAAAAGTGTGAAAATGCTAACACAGGGTACAACTGGTGTAAGCTGAATGGGTACACACCATAAAAATAGCATTTTCAAAACAAAGTTCTGGTTGATGAAAACAAAACAACCCACATAATTTGGTACAACTCGACAGGCAAATTCTGCTGAAGCCGAACATTTTCATGATGATGTGTGTTCATCAGGAGAACACTGTACAAAGTTCACCCTTTGCGTGTAATAACTGGGCATGTAATAACAGTAATGATTGGGTAGGATTTGGCATTTAAAAAAAAATCACTGTAAACAAAAGGAATAAGCCAAGCACAGCAGCAAAATGACCTCCAGCAGTCTTAGGGATTTACAAACTGAATGTTGTTGTTGTGTGCCATTGTATGTGAACTGACTCATAGCTGACCCTCCGGCAGGTTTTCAGAGGCAGTACATCCCATGGGAGGGGACTGTCCATCTTTCTTCTCCAGAGCATCTGGTGGATCCAAACCAAGTACCTTTGAGATTGCAGTGCAGCTTCTTACCACTAGGCCACCAGAGCTCCCTACTGAATAACTATCACAGTTTAGTGAGTTGCAAACAATACTTTTTAAAAATTGTCATAAAATGCACATAAAATTAAATTTGCCTGCACAGCCATGTTTACTGCTGTGTTGTTCACAATAGCAAAGAGATGGAAGCAACCCAAGTGCCCATCAACAAATGTATGGATAAGGAAGCTGTGGTAGACTCACACAATGCAATACTATCCAGCACTATAAAACCAAGGAACTCATTAACTATTATACAAAATGGGAGGACATTATACTGACTGAAATATCTCAGTCACAAAAGAACAAATACTGCAGAATGCCACCTGTTATAAAATAGGATTGACATGAGGATTGGGGAAAAACTAAGAAAAGAGGGGATAAATAATGAACACTGCATTGAAATAGCTGAAGGAAAGAACTGTCTAGAAGAAATATATGATTAGCTATTATTTGCATGACATTAGTCCAAAATAAAAGGTGCACAGAAAGGTGAATTGGGGGGCCCGGGAGGAAATTGTGCAACAATGAAAGAATTTTTTTAAAGAGAAAAATGAACTAGTGGGAGGGGAGGGGGGAATGTGCAACAATGAATGAATGGAAATCCAAATTTTCTGTAAACTTTTGTTAAAATATTAATTAAATAAAATTAAATTTGCCATTGTAATACTTTTTTAAGCACACCATTCCATGGCATTTATTACAGTCAATACTGTACAATTACAATCACCATTTCCAAATCTTTTTCATTACCCCAACCTTAGTATCCATTAAATTGTCCCTCCCCCAGCACAGTCTCTGAAGAAAGCCTCATATGCCAAATTTCCTCTCTTGGAACTTCTTTACACTCCCCTCTTCTAACCAAAATGCAGGGTAGCTTTATTTGGCAATTCCTACAAAGTTAAGGAATGAATGTCAAAAGTGGATTTAAAGATTCCATAATATCCTTAAAATTCCTAAGAAACACTCATCAAAGAGAATGCATCCCAACTTTCATCCCTATTTTCTGGAACTGGATGCTAGGTTTGAGTGTTGGTGGTATAATAGATTACGTGTTGGGCTGCTAATGGAAAGGCCGACAGTTCAAATTCACTTAAGAAACTCTTCAAGGCAGGATTACAGCGTTCTATAAGGACACTACGAGTCAGAAAAGACAGGTTGCGAAGACAACGAGGTTTTTGTTTTGTCTGGGACTCTAGGTATTCTATTATTCACATCCCCGTATTATTCCTCTGTTATTTCAGTAGGCACCTTGTTATGTAACTTCATGCTTGCTCCTTTAGAAAGACCACACACAAACTCTCTCATCTGACAGACAAGTGATGTAATACGCAAATTTCACACCTCCACAGTAAGCACTCTTTCACTTTGAATTCTCAAATGCTCATTTTAATCCCCTTGGAAGGAGAGTCTAACTAGAGGACAAAAGAGATGAAAGATGTGCTACACCTTGGAATTTTAAAACATCAGCTGATAAGGATCAGTGTTGGGGAGATAGTAATGTAACGCTCAAAAGCCTGGTATTCTACCCTCTTTTTCTAGGAGGTGCAGTTTGAGTTCTAGCATCACCACTCACTCACAGCTTCAAGACCTTGCCCACTCCAGTTCAGAATCCTCACCTCTGCAGGTACTACTATATTCTTGAGCTGCTACACAGAGTGTTGGTGAGATCGCCAATGTGGCTGAAAAGTGCAAGTGCTCCAGGAATGCAGTGTGGAAGGACAGACAAGGGCACACCCAAAAGCTCTCTGTATTTAATACTCCTGATCAAGAAAACAGATGAAGTCTCCTACCCCATAGGGTTCTTCTTGAGAACATTAAGGAAGTTCTCATTTGTTCAGTACAGCTGCTGGCATTGAGCAGAGACTCACATCAAGATCAGAAAGATCTATGTTCTACATCTAGTTTGGTGAGTAGCATCTGAGGTCTTTAGTGTTTATATACAGACATCTAAGAAACAACTATTGGTCTCCCTTTGTCTACAGCACAAGAGAAAGATGAAAACTCACGTTTCAAAGAAGGAACTGATCTACAAGACTGTCAGTATAAACCACAGTCTCCTCTACTATGAGAACAGACCTCAATGGACCAGAGAGCACACCAAATATTCTGATCAGAGCGGCGGTAGATGGATCCTCCAAAAATCCACTTACTGGACCAGTTGAGACTAGAGGACTCCTCTCTAAGACAACAGCTCTGAGATACTCTTTAAACACTGAACTTAAGTAATTGTTTAGCTAACATCAATCACACTCTAAGTCAGCACTCCTTTTCAAAAACATCTTTATGAGACTAATGGCAAATAGTTAATCTAAACTAGATAGGGTGATCATGGGACAGTGGGATTAGGTTAATGGGAACAGGAATAATGAGGATATCCACACAGTATGAAAAACGTAACCAATATCACAGAGTAAAGTGGAAATTGAATGGGAAATGCTTTTGCTGGATACACTTTACCAATAATACAATAAATTTTTTTTCTTCAAAAACCTTGATGGAATATATTATTTATTTAGCCATGAAAGTGAAGTTATTCTATATGCTACAACTTCAATAAACCTTGAAAACACTAAACTAATGAGAGAGGCCAGACAGAAAACTGCCATGTATTGTTTGATTTGGTCGATGTGAAATATTCAGAGTAGTTTGATCCACAGAGACAGAACACTGATTAGGGGGTGCCCAGGGGACAGGAAGGGCAGAGCAGGGAGTGTGGGTTGTTCTGGGATGATGAAAAATTTTGAAACTAGAGAGGAGGTCGTTGTACAACATTATGAATATATCAAATAACACAAAATTATATATATGAAAAAAGATTAATCGTATATAACAGAAATTTTACAGCAATTACAAAGAAACCTAGCTTTCCCTTGTAGTGGTTACTCCAACTTGGAATGAATTGGGATGAGGAGGGCATTTTAGCATGCAGACTGCCTGGTTCCCATGTCCCACCTAATAGGGGTTAGGGTGTGTGGGTGGGTGAGTGAGTGAGTGAGTGAGTGAGAGAAAAAAAACCAGAGAGACAGAGACAGAGAAAATTTCTGCAGAAGTTCTGAAGGAGGGAGATCAAGAACTTGGATTTCTGATATATGTCCAGATGATACTCAATATAGCCTTAGAAAAATTTAATGGTTAAAGAAAAATTTCTAGATTCTGGCTCCAAAATCAGCTCTATTGCACCTAACCAAGCATGGAATACATTTTTAAAAGTTTTAAATGGCTTGTAAACTTATTGGCACCAAATTCTACCACAATGATAAAAAATGTTGAGGTGGTTTCTGCCCCCGATTTAGGCAGCTAAATACAGAGTAAGATGCACGTACGATCAGGACTGAGCGCTCCCTGCTACTCCAACTGCCTTGTGGGTGGCCTTGTACAGAAGTTACACAGCCACAGAAAAAGAGTTCTACATGTACAGAAAAGTAATGATTTCTGTCCACATATCAACAATTCTTCTACCCTCTCAAAAAACCCTACACATCAATGATTCTTCTATACTCTTAAAAAACCCTATACATTTATTATTAGAAGCAGAAGTGACATCCACTTCCTAAATAACATGCCTCTGGAAACGCTATGAACTTTGATAAATGTCAATAGTTGTACAGAGGCTTCAGGCCTTTTGTTCATAGAGTCACTATGAGTCGTTCTCAACTTGAAGGCAATCAACAACATACCTTTATCATAAGGTTGCAAATAGATTTATTGATATTGGTATGTGAGCATCTCTTAAATGAAAAAATAAGTAAATAAATAATTCAGCTGACCAGCTTTTGAGGCATTTTCCAGAAGCCTATTTGGGGCCCATGACACACAACAGCTGGTCACAAGAAGGGATTGTGTCTTTTTTAATTAAATGGGGGCCATGCCCACAGCCAGATTTCTTTAAAGAAACCTAAATAATCCTAATCAGTAATGCCAAGTTATGTAATCTTAGCAAAAGACAGTTTTAAAATTTTTTTTTAAACCCTAACAACATTCATTTTTAAAAGAAGTACATTAAAAAAAGCCTGTTTCCTTGTCTGTAGAATGAGTGTTTGAGTGTTTGCACACTCAATAATAAACCCTCATCATGTGGGTTATTATGTATAGTGGAATCAGAACTATCTCACAGCTGAACCACCAGCAGGTTTTCAGAGGCAGCAAATCCCATAGGAGGGACTGCCCATCTTTATCCCAAAGAGCAGCTGGTGGATTCGAACCCTGTGGCTTTCAAATTGCACTGCTTTCTAACCACCAAGAATTAAATGAGTCAAAGCATTTGGGTCAGTGCTGGGTATACAGAGTGTTATAGTAAAAGTGTTTTACAAGAGTGCAATTTTCAGATATTACCATACATTGGCATACACTGCCAGGTGGGCTGGGGGAGGAGGAAAGAAAATGTGCAACTATGAATTTTTAATTTTTTTAAATGTTTTGTATAGTATTTATTGATTTAGGAAGCAAATTAAAAATTCTGAATTTACTTGAAAACTGACCCCCCAAAAAAATAGATTACAAAGACACTTAAGATGGGTGAAAGCAAGGTTATATCCAAAATAAAGGGATGGGAGATCTGGTGGCCTAACGGCAAGCTGTGCTACAATCCCAAAGGTGTGTGGTTCAAATCCACCAGATTCCCCACTGGAGAAGGAGGGGCAATGTCTTCCTGTGCCAGTCAGATCCAATTTGACTAGTGCCTGGGTCTGCCAACGCATCCTGACAAAATCTGTTGCGCAGCAGCGGAGGGAGAGCAGGGGGCGGCTCCAGGAACCCCGCCGAGCCCCTGCCACCTCCGCCACCTCGCTGGGCTGCCTTTGCGGTGGTGCTCAGGCCCGTGCTGGGTCCCCTGCTCCACCACGACAGGTGCTCTCATCGCCGCGTTCTCTGGGCCCCCGAGCCGCCGGGCTCTGCGTCGCGCCCCCTCAGCACTGCGCAACTATTAGTTTTTTTAAAAGTGTCATTTCTGGAGCTCTCATGGCCTAGTGGCAAAAGGCTGCACTGCAACCCCAGAGAAACACTGTTAGAATCCACCAGACGCTCTGCTGGAGAAGGAGGCGAAATCTCCTCCTGTACCTGTCTGATCCGACTTGACGGTACACACAAAAAAATAATGGGGGGGAGGGGGGAGTGCCATTTTCTCCCATACAAGCAGCAGCGTGCCTACCTTCGTTGGGTTTGCCTTTGGTCAGAAGGACCCCGATGGGCCTATCTGCATCCTGCTGGCTGTGGTCCCCCCGCCCAGGGCTGGGGCTGCGGGAGTGCAGGTGCTCGCGGCTGCTCCGGGGCTCCTGCCGGCTGTCCCGTGCCCT